GAGGCTAAAGAGGATCTTAGGGATAATGGTAGCATGACAAATGGGAATGAGGATATGGAGGCAGATATTACCATATCTGAGGTAGAAGCGAAACTCAAACAGCTTAATGGGACTGAATCGCGGGGCCCAGATAATCTTCATCCAAGAATATTAAAGGAATTGGTACACGAAATTGCAAGCCCATTAGCAAGAATTTTTAATGAATCTGTAAACTCAGGGGTTGTACCATATGATTGGAGAATTGCTAATATAGTTCCTATTTTTAAGAAAGGGAAAAAAAGTGATCCGGGTAACTACAGGCTTGTTAGTTTGACATCTGTAGTATGCAAGATCTTGGAAAAAATTCTGAAGGAGAAAGTAGTTAAGGACATTGAAGTCAATGGTAAATGGGACAAAATACAACATGGTTTTACAAAAGGTAGATCGTGCCAAACCAACCTAATCTCCTTCTCTGAGAAAGTAACAGATTTTTTAGACAAAGGAAACGCAGTGGATCTAATTTACCTAGATTTCAGTAAGGCGTTTGATACCGTGCCACATGGGGAATTATTAGTTAAACTGGAAAAGATGGGGATCAATATGAAAATTGAAAGGTGGATAAGGAATTGGTTAACAGGGAGACTACAGTGGGTCATACTGAAAGGTGAACTGTCAGGCTGGAGGGAGGTTACCAGTGGAGTTCCTCAGGGATCAGTTTTGGGACCAATCTTATTTAATCTTTTTATTACTGACCTTGGCACAAAAAGTAGGAGTATGCTAATAAAGTTTGCGGATGATACAAAGCTGGGAGGTACTGCCAATTTAGAGAAGGACCGGGATATCATACAGGAGGATCTGGATGACCTTGTAAACTGGAGTAATAGTAATAGGATGAAATTTAATAGTGAGAAGTGTAAGGTTATGCATTTAGGGATTAATAACAAAAATTTTAGTTATAAGCTGGGGTCGCATCAATTAGAAGTAACAGAGGAGGAGAAGGACCTTGGAGTATTGGTTGATCATAGGAGGACTATGAGCCGCCAATGTGATATGGCTGTGAAAAAAGCTAATGCGGTCTTGGGATGCATCAGGCGAGGTATTTCCAGTAAAGATAAGGAGGTTTTAGTACCGTTATACAAGGCACTGGTGAGACCTCTCCTGGAATACTGTGTGTAGTTCTGGTCTCCCATGTTTAAGAAGGATGAATTCAAACTGGAACAGGTACAGAGAAGGGCTACTAGGATGATCCGAGGAATGGAAAACTTGTCTTATGAAAGGAGACTCAAGGAGTTTGGCTTGTTTAGCCTAACCAAAAGAAGGTTGAGGGGAGATATGATTGCTCTCTATAAATATATCAGAGGGATAAATACCGGAGAGGGAGAGGAATTATTTAAACTCAGTACCAATGTGGACACAAGAACAAATGGATATAAACTGGTCATTGGGAAGTTTAGACTTGAAATTAGATGAAGGTTTCTAACCATCAAAGGAGTGAAGTTTTGGAACAGCCTTCCAAGGGAAGCAGTGGGGGCAAAAGACCTATCTGGCTTTAAGATTAAATTCGATAAGTTTATGGAGGAGATGGTATGATGAGATAACATGATTTTGGTAATTAATTGATCTTTAAATATTCATGGTAAATAGGCCCAATGGCCTGTGATGGGATGTTAGATGGGGTGGGATCTGAGTTACCACAGAGAATTCTTTCCTGGGTATCAGGCTGGTGAATCTTGCCCACATGCTCAGGGTTCAGCTGATCGCCATATTTGGGGTCGGGAAGGAATTTTCCTCCAGGGCAGATTGGAAGAGGCCCTGGAGGTTTTTCGCCTTCCTCTGTAGCATGGGGCACGGGTCACTTGCTGGAGGATTCTCTGCTCCTTGAAGTCTTTAAACCATGATTTGAGAACTTCAATAGCTCAGACATAGGTGAGAGGATTTTTGCAGGAGTGGGTGGGTGAGATTCTGTGGCCTGCATTGTGCAGGAGGTCGGACTAGATGATCATAATGGTCCCTTCTGACCTTAGTATCTATGAAGGTCCAGTGAGATACATGTGCTTCCCTAGTACTGGAGCTTATGGCTTTCTTCCTCCAAATGCACCCATGTTGAGCATCATCGGATGGTTACTTTTCTAAATCTTTTAAAGCATTACTGATGCCATAGCTTATTATTTTTAAGTCACTTTCAAAAAATATCACTTCCCCCACATGTTTAAGAATAAAAATTGCTGAGTGCCCTGTGCTGCTATGTGTTAATGAAGTTCCTCTCTTCACCAGCACGCTACGTGAAGGCTGGTCATGTGAAAGACCAAGTGAAAGGAAGAAGTCAGCAATACAAATTAATCCTGCTTCCCTCCTCGAATCAGGACATGTTGCTCAACAACAACGAAAATCTCTTTTGGAGTTTCATTTCTTCTTTTAGAAAACATCAGCTAGCATGCATGCTTGCTGTACAAAATGGCTGCTGCATAACACCCAAGAAGTAGCTGCATTTTAACAGTTGGTGAGTGTAGAGATTTTTTACCTCCGCTGCACTTCCCTAAGTCAGCAGGGATTCACCCAAACAGGAAGTTGGCGGATATTTGTAGTGAGGCCTGTCCCTCCCTTAGGAATTCTACTAGAAGAGGCTGCTTGCGAGATAATGAGCCACTGCATTCCACAGACAATTTAGCGGTTGCCCTTCCTGGCCAGTGTCTTGCAATTTGGCGTGGAGAAGCCTGGGTTATTGAGTAAAGCCTGCAGAAACCAATATAACTCAATACTGAATCAACAGGTAGATTTAGATTATTACTTACAGAACACAGCCTAATGACTGTACTCAGGACAAGAGGAACAAAACTATAAAGGCCAACAAACGAGATGCACCCGTAAATATCCATAAGCTACAGTAAAAAGAGATGCCTAAGGAGAACTCTTAGACTGTGGTGGGCTGAAAGAGTATGAATTTAATAGCAAAGCAGCATGTAACCCGATTGTTAGGAGGACTCAGTTATTCTATTGATTTGTATTACAGTATCGTCTAGAGTCAGATTGTGCTAATCATTGTGCTCATCATTGTACACACAGATGTTGAGAGTCCCACCCTGCCCCACAGAGCGTACAGACTGAAGAGACAAGCCAAAGAACGGGAAAGGAAGTACTCTTAACCCCATAGAAATGGGGAAAGGAAGTACTCTTCACCTCACCATGCATGAGTTCCCTATTTCTATGGGGTTAAGTCACTTGACCAAGTTCACACAGGAAGTCCATGGTAAATCTGGAAATCTGAACCTCGATTGGTTACGTCCAGAGCGTTCCTTCCTCTGAAATCCAAAATCGTTAATTTAAAATAATGTATTAATTATTATTATTATTACTATTATGGAAAAGAAAATACATCAACCCCTTGACAGGGGTCCTTGGCCATACAGACCCAAATATTCAGAAGCATTCATTCTGGGAGCCTCAATTTCTGACTTAAGTAGGCACTCTCAATTTGATCCACTCTAAATTACTGGACACGTTTGAAACCAGAAGCCATGTTATATAAACTGTGTATCTTCCATCACTATCCAATCACTCACCAGCATCTCTGGCATGATTCCAAATCTACGCTTCATGCAGTACTCGTAATGAAGCCCATGAAAGTTCCTTGCATGCAATGACAGCTGAATCAGGTCCTGTGAGAATATGCTAGGAAGTTCAGCACTGAAAGAGTTAAAAATATTCTAGGAATGCCCATGTAAATATTCTTAGGAATTTCCTTAGAAAAAGTATTTATTCTATACCTCTGATTCAAAATCCAACAGCTGACAATAACCTAGCAGTTGTGTGTGTGTGAGCTATTGATGCAGAACACACAAATTTTTTTTAAACACACACAGCCTTAGCACCAACACTATCAATCTTCACAGTAACCAGGTGGTGTCCCTAGAGGTGTGCATCTGAGTGGCACAACAGAACTCAACAATAAGGGCCAAGACCACTCAATGCCAATGACACTATGCATTGTGACTCTGTACTTGTTCAAAACAGCAGCTGCAACCACAAAGTTTCCACAATAAATATACCAGCAAAGTAACAGCTGCACCCAGGATTGGAGCCGCTAACCTCTGCACCTCGGACCAGGCACTGTGATATCCACACTCAATAAGAGACTAACATCTGGCAGAGTTCAGTGCCCTGCTTGGTTTAAAGTAATGGAAGAGGACACACTACCTACATATTTACAATTTTTTATCAATGCTAATGTTAAAATTATATAATACACAGGTTGAGAAAAGAGTGCCTGTATATCTGGGTATAGTGCTTAGATTATCCACAAAAACAAAGTTTGTTTTTAAAAGTCATATGGGACAGATAGTACACAATCAGCAATAACCCAGATTTAGGTGAATAAATTTAAGAATACAGTTTAGATATTAGAATCCAAGTATTCATGAAACGTTGTACAGTAAGTTGGTTGTGGAAAGCAAAGTATATCAATGGGTGAAGATTGTCCCTCAGTAACTGTGAATTAGGGTAGTCTACACCTTAAATGTTCCAGGCATCAGCCTCTGCAGAGACAAAAAGAACAGGAGGACTTGTGTCACCTTAGAGACTAACAAATTTATCTGAGCATAAGCTTTCGTGGGCTAAAACCCACTTCATCAGATGCATGCAGTGGAAAATACAGTAATATATATATATATATATATATATGTATGTATATATATATATACACACACACACAGAACATGAAACAATGGGTGTTATCATACACAGGATAAGGAGAGTGATCAGTTAAGGTGAGGTATCAGAGTAGCAGCCGTGTTAGTCTGTATTCACAAAAAGAAAAGGAGTACTTGTGGCACCTTAGAGACTAACCAATTTATTTGAGCATAAGCTTTCGTGAGCTACAGCATCCGATGAAGTGAGCTGTAGCTCACGAAAGCTTATGCTCAAATAAATTGGTTAGTCTCTAAGGTGCCACAAGTCCTCCTATTCTTTTTTCAGTTAAGGTGAGCTATTACCAGCAGGAGAGAAACAAACAAACAAACAAACACCTTTTGTAGTGATAACCAAGATGGGCCACTTCCAGCAGTTGACAAGAACGTGTGAGGAGTAACTCCCCCCCCCAAACCGGCATATGAAGGGTGCGGAGGACGGAACCAAAAGCAAGGGGCTGGCTTTCCCCAAAGAAAAGCATCAGCGCACAAGTGGGTGTGGGTGACTAGGCAAAGCAGAGCAGCCCCCCGCCAGCGTGCAGGATCCCCCCAGCAGCTATGGCAGCGGAGGGCCAGGCGATCAGGTGAGGGCTTCACAAGTTCGACTCCTCTTTGGGACTGGTCGGGAGTCTCTTTCGGGAGAGCGCAGCCTGCCTGCCTTTCGCTTTCGTTTCTGTTCCTGCGGTGGGGCGGAGCAGCGGCCCTGGAAACGCGCTGATCCGAGACAACAGCGACTGGGGGCTTTGGGGCAAGGGAGCCAGAGATCTGGAGCGCCCAGCTGTCCCCTCCATGTGCCGGTCTCGGAATTACCCCTCTGCTCCTCTAATCAGTCCAGACTGCCTCCGGGCAGGGGCCCTAACACCGAGCCAGGCACTCACTTCCTGCAGGGCTCTCCTAGGAAAGCAGTGGATGCGCCCCAGGGTCAGCTGCGCACAGAGCAGCCCAAAGTTTTCCCCAGAGGGAGCATGTCTCAGCCTCACGCAGCCGGGCTTTGGTGTTAGCTTGAATAGGAAGTGGGAGGGGTGAGTGGGCCACAGGGTTTTAGCGAGGGAGTGGGTGATCTAGCTGCGTTCCCCCCCAAAGTGATGTGTACCCAAAAGATATGGGGCCAGATCCACTTAGGGTGACCAGATGTCCCGATTTTATAGGGACAGCCCTGATTTGGGCGGCTTTTTCTTATATAGACTCATATTGCTGCCCAGACCCTGTTCCGATTTTTTACATTTGCTATCTGGTCACCCTAGATCCAGGGCTGGTGTAAATCAGTGTAATTCCATTGAAATATATGACTTACAGCAGCAAAGGTTCTGGCAGCAAGGACTGCAGTGTGTGTTGTGTGTGTGCACACTAGTGTTTTAGCTGGTTGTCTGGGTTAGAGAATTGGGCTGTGAGTTTTCCTCTGAAGTGGCTGAGGCTATCTTCCAAGAGTGAGTTCCAGGTCTGCGGCCGGTCTCAGAAAAAACTCTGTCTCCTGCACACTTGAGTTTCACCCTGAAGGCTGATAGAGTTCTGTCGTTTCAATGGGATGGAGCTGTCCTAGGAGTACATGGTAACCACCTGAGGACAGATGCCTTCCTTGGATAGTCATGTTCTATAGAGGGGACTTCGGTGTGTTTCCCTCTCATTGTCATCACTTCAGCCTTTCCAGGATTCAGATTCATTCAGCTACTCTTCATCCAGGTGCTGCTCTTAGCCCTTGGATGGCAAAGAAATACAGTAGCGGGTTCTGTGAAGGTGATGCAGTAATATCAGCAGTACTCGACAGATGTAACCACTGAGCTGAGACTTGTTGCTTTTCAAGTGTTGACCATGAAACTATAGAATTACTTTGCCTCCAGTACCGTATTATGTGCCTCCTAATTTTGCTTATATTAAAGTCAGTTTTCCTTGTGTGTTAAGTTTCTAATATAATAATTTTTAAATGGATCCTTCAAACAGTGAGAAACTTTCTCACCCTGTGGACAAGCATAGTGATCCTATAACACAGAAGTTATTAAGACATGCAAAATGTCAGTGTTATTGCACAGGCTAAGAAGACACTGATTTCGTACAACTTTGCAGTGCAGATCAATTTTTTCAGACAGATTTTACACCCCCAAAACCAGGTGTCAGAATGGAAATGCCAGTGAAGGCTTTTGGCGGAGCAACTTGAGGAGTATTTCTATAATTTGAGGTCATTTGTGATCTAGAAAATATTTCCCAATAAAGCATTGATATTAACTGGCATCATAACAGCCTTTCAGAATTTGTGTAGGAGTATCCATCAAGCTAAGTGTGTCATATTGTTTTGCATCCTAGGTTTAGTCGTCTGCTCAATAAAATCGTATCGTGGCATCTGAAATGCGAAGCTACAGCAGTTCATGCCTTCCCAAATATAAAGCATATTCTAGGCTGGTACGGCCAGGGTGCTTTAAAGAGGAAAAATGTGTCTCCGTCCAAATTAGGCACAATGGCTGAGATTTACAAAAGTCAATGCCTAAATTAGTTACTCACATCCTGATTTAACTATCTCAGTAAGTGGCCTGATTTTCAGAAGTGCTGAGCACCAAGCACATCAGTCTTTCCATAAAGTCCAAAGAATCCGTAAAATGTCTTTAGAGCAGAAAGATTCTTCTTGCGATCTCTCTACTTTTGCCCTTCCGCATCGCTCCAGTTCTCTCATTTCTCCATGTCCACTTCCCCATTGCCTTTTTTCTACATGTTTATTCCTAAACACTCAGATTGCCTGTTTTCTTTTGCTTTTTCGATCAGAGTTTCCAGCCAGTGTTATGGAGCTGTTGATCAGATGTCTCATGCCTCTGCTGAAGGATATTTTGGTATGAAAACCTGAGCAATCAATGACTCTTGTGACACTGATGTTTGCTTTGCTGGCTGCGCCAGTTCTTGTTTCAGTCTTTGACAGGGAACTCAGAATGGACCCAATCTAGATATGCCAATTATCTAATTGGACAAAACCAAACACCTTTGCCCCACCCCTGCCCTGCCCTGCCCATTGCCCAGAGGCCTTGCCCTTTCACCGCCCCTGTCCCGAGGTCCTGTCCTCCACTCACTCCATCCCCCCTCCCTCCATTGCTCGCTCTCCCCCACCCTCACTCACTTTCACTGGGCTGGGGCAGGGGGTTGGGGTGCAGAAGGGGATGAGGGCTCCAGCTTGGGTTGTGACTCTGGGGTGGGGCTGTGGATGAGGGGTTTGGGATGCAGGAGGGGGCTCTGGGCTGGGGCCGAGGGGTTTGGAGTGTGGGAGGGGGTTCCGAGCTGGGGGCCGGGGTTAGGGCGCGGGGTGGGGTTCGAGGTGCAGGCTCTGGGAGGGAATTTGGATATGGGAGGGGGCTTAGGTCTGGGGCAGGGAGTTGGCGTGCGGGCTCCAGATAGGCGGCGCTTACCTCAGGTGGCTCTTGGTCGGTGGTGCAGCAGGGCTAAGGCAGGCTCCGTACCTGGCTCTGCACAGCTCCTGGAAATGGCCAGCATATCCTTGTGGCCTGTAGGTGCAGGGTGATCAGGGAAGCTCCATGCGCTGCCCCCACCCCGAATGGCAGCTCAGCAGCTCCCAGTGGCCAGGAACCACAGCCAATGTGAGCTGCGGGGGCAGCACCCATGGGCGTGGAGCTTCCCAGCCGCCCCTGCGTGTAGGAGCTGGGCTGGACATACCGGGTGCTTCTGGGAGCTGCGCAGAGCCATGTAGGGAGCCTGCCAGCCCCGTTGTGCTGGCAACCGGACTTTTAACAGCTGGTCAGCAGTGCTGACTGGAGCTGCCAGGGTCCCTTTTCAACCGGGCGTTCCCAATCCTGCACTCCTTGCTTGAAGTCAGTGGGAATTTTGACACCATAGAAGGAGTGCGGAGTCATGAAGAGATTGATGCACAAAGTGCGTAATGCATTGTCCTTTGAAATGCAAATTTCTTCCCGTTTTTGTGAATAAACATCAACATCTAGTTAGTTAATGGGAATCAGCATAAAGTTATTTACTTTTCTTCCTGCTGAGTGACTTGTGTTTGTGGTTCAGCAATTAAAATGCTTGCAATTAAACAATTGCAAATTGAACCACTATGCTGACATTCAGAATGAGAGAGTGGAAGAGACTTTCATTTCTTCAGAAGAGCTCAGTGCTCTGATCATAAGGATCTATTTATTTTCTTTCCCTCATCTTCAGTTCCTGCTTGTGATAGATAACAAGGTTCGGTATGGCTCCCTCTAGTGTTGCTACTAGTGAGTAACATGAGTCATAGTTTGCTACAGGTGGATTCAAACAGGCTCTGAGTCCTCCTTAAATGTCCATTTCAGCTACCGACATTCAGATTTCATCAGCCTGCACTGGTAAGCATTGATTCAAATCTCTGTTCAAAACTTTACTGAAAGTTTTGGTTGGATTAAAAAGAGTAAGTGTTCATATAATATATTTCCCTGGGTTTACTTAATGTTTGTGCTTTCTCATTCTGTCTGAAGCCATAAGCAGAAGTAATGAAATTCCACAAGAGAGGCTTTTGTGATACTTCCATTGCAGCAAGAAGCAAACAGAACCACAGGAACACAGATTTTCTTATGAGATTTTCAGGCTTATTTTGCAGACTCTTATTTCGAAGAGAGTCAAGCAGACATCTCAATTCATAGGTTTTTATCCTGGCCACACCTCAAACCTTATGGAAGTTTGCTCATCAGTAGTCTCCATGTGCATGACAGAGGTCACCCATTGCTACCATTTTTAAGGCAGAACTTCCTGGCATATCTCAAACACTTATCTGATTAAAGACCAGAAGTCTGATTCTCCTCTCATACCAGTTTTACACTAGTGTAGCTCTGATGTGACTGGGAGGAGAATTGGGCTCAATATAAAGCATTCTGTTTATCCAGGAACCTAGTTGGTTCGTTGCATGTTTGAGTGAGGACATTATGACAACTTTCTATTGTTAAACTCTTTATGCTGTAGGTGCCGTCGCTCCTGATCACATGACCAATGGAGAAGAACCCTCTGCTCCCCCTGCTTATCCAATAGACGAGATCTCCGGCTATGAAGGCACAGCACTGGGCGATGGTGGTTAGTACATAAACCCACAGACTATTCTTTTTCCTGAGATTGTCTATCTCTTTAAAAGGAAGTCAGTGTACAGCGTTTTGTATCAGCTGATTGACACTGTCTTTTCTATATTCCTGAATGTAATCTTGTTATCTGTGGCATTTTCCCAAGTGATAGGGTAGGAGAGAGATTCCACTGGGATCAAACAGCTGCCAAAGTTGCGAGTTACCCCCACCTATGCCAGAACCCCCTACCCCTGCTGTGCCACACAATTGCCTCTTTACCCCTGCTGAACTATCCAATGAATAATCCTGATTTCTCTCTTTTTCTCTAATGGATCAGTTTTCCTCTGAGATATTTTGTGTGTCCTGTGCTAATCAGAGGCCGTTCATTAGAACAAGACAGAAACCGGTGATTTTGGCCTTATTTCAAAAGCAGGCAGGAACTGAAGGACAAGTAACAAATGTGTGTCTCTCTAAACCTGTAAAATGCCAACTTCTACCTTTTCGTTTCTCGCAGGAGGAAAAGGTTTACCTCCTCCATCAGATCTGGTGACTGATCATGGAGGTGGGCCCCCTCCAGCCCAAACAGACTGGAAGTAAGATGTGCTTTCAAATGTAATGATGATGATTAAGAGTTATCCTGCATCCTTTGTAAACTAAGCACAATCAACACAGCTGATGAGAGGGTGGCAGCCAACTGGCACACTGCACACAAGAGAGCAGGGGGAATTTTTTGGCCAATGATATGGGGTCAGACACTGCTTTGATCAATGGTGCTATGGGAGCTTTAGGCCCTCCCCCTTTTCAGCCAGCATGTGGGTGCCTACCTTACACGTCAAGATATGTGCGCACAAAGCCATGATCAGCATACACTGCTGAGTAGATAAGCATGCACTTAGCCATGGGTGAGCAAATTCAGGGATTTTACATGCACACATCTGAGGTACACAATAGGCATACATTTTCACATTCTCAGAGACATGTTGACCTGATGGTTGAAAATCAGGTACCAGTGTCCATGAAATTCTGACAGGACCTCACTTGTTAATGTTGCATCCTAAACACCTCTCATCCTAAACTGCCTCATTTCTTGGGAGAGATGAAGGCTTGAGTTATCGTTCCTGGGATTTGAATCTCTAAGAGAGTCTAGGTTTTTCCAAACCTGATGCTTGTAGGACTAAGTCATCTTATCCAGCATTTTTCTGTCAGTGCAGCGGAGTGCTATGTAAATTAGGTCAAGGCCTTATATGGGAGAATGTGTGATGCTGGGATGTCTTCTGAAAGGGGAAGGGTGGATGTTTAGCGCACGGCAGAATTGCTCTGCAAATTGAAAGGCAATTTCAAACCGGTCCACGCTTTCTTCTCTCTTTCTGGTAGCATTCCTGCTGTTTCAGAAGATGCAGCCAAAGAAGCTCTTATACAGTACGCGGCCAGTAAGTGCTGCTACAGCTCGGCCCCTGCCAAGGAAATGGTGTTTCGGAATCTGCAGCCATTCAACACCTACAGAGTATGTTCATCTTTTGCAGCCCAACTTACTCACACTGAAGTCAGTGGAGTTTGTCCACTAACTTCAGCAGGAGCTGGGCATTTCACGGGGATCAAACAGCTGCCAAGCGTTGCAAATTACCCTTACCCATGCAATAGCCCCCTTACTGAGAAATTCCCAGTGGGGTGGTGTGGCTAGCTTCAGTTTGGAATTGTGTTTGCATGCTCTGAACATCTCGGGACTCATAAAGGGAATGGAATCTTTAGACTGACAGCAAAGAGCTACTTCCACTTCGTAGCTTTTCAATGATTGCTTGGTTTAGAATCGGGAAAAATATAGGTTCATAATTTGATTCCATTGCTATGGACCTTTTTTGCCAGTGTCAAGTCTTTAAAAATTATATATTCCATTTTGATCCCTGCTCCAAATAGGGTAAGGACCTGGGTAAAAAGGTCAGCCACCACCCCTAGAACCATTGGAGATGCACCATTGGTAGTGAACAGTGGGAAATATCCTGAAAAACTGACAGCATAGACAATGTCAGAGAGAGAAACAGCTTTTGGATATAGCCATTGTTAATTAATAGGACCAACCACTGAATTCCAAACAACAGCGAATATTCCATGGTGACTTGTACTCTGGAAACCCATAGATAGATAGCGTTAGCTTAGGTGAAACTAAAGTGAAGAGCAGAAGTGTGTGGGGATAGAAGAGAGGGAGGAGATATGAGGAAAATAGTCAAATGAGAAGGTAAATAAAGAAGAAGCGAATGACTAAAACAAAAAGAAATAGGGCAATTAAATAGAGCAGGTATGATAGCCTTATTGGTGTTTTTGGTTTTTAGAGTATAGAGCAGTGGTTCTCATCCTATTTATCATTGTGGGCTGCATATACGGCCCACAAAGTGTTATTTGGGCTGCAGGGTGAGAACCACAATATCTCCCACCTAACTCCCCCCCGTAAACTCCTATGCTCAGCGCCCTCCGCCCAGAGACCCCTCCACAGAGTGGGGCCAGGAATGGAGAGCTGGGTGTGGAGCAGGGGACAGGGACCCCGACCCCAGACCCTGCTGCTCGGGGACCCCTGACCCCAGCTGTGCAAGACCAGGGGGCAACCAGGACCCTGACCCCAGACCCGCCATGTGGGGCTGGGTGGCGGCAGCAGGCTGCCTAGACCCCGAGCCCCACTGTGTGGGGCTGGGTGGCAGCCAGCAGCCCGGAGCCCAGAGTGTGCCATGCGGCAGGGCAGCCGGCTGCCCAGACCCCACGGCAGGGGGCCAAGGGGCAGCCAGGACCCTGACCCTGGAGCCTGCCATGCAGCAGGGCAGCCGGGAGCCTGGAGCCTGGAGCCTGTGGCCTTTAGCTCACAGCTGAGTTGGGCCGCTGCTGTGTGCTAACTGGGCTGCATGCGGCCCGCAGGCCGTGGGTTGAGAATCGCTGGTATAGAACAAATATAGGGCCTGATCAAAAGACCATTGATAACAGTGGAAAGTTTCCTGGTGACTTTGATAGACTTTGGCTCAGGCCCATAACGCAGCATTCTATGAAGATATCACCTCACCCTGTCAACAGTGAGATTGGTCATTATTTTGGCTAGTGTGAATTTACTTTCTTAAGCGCCACAGATTGCAGTCCCAATTGGGTTTTTGTATAGACTGCATTGAATGCCCAATCACTCCCACTTTGGGGTTGTTACAGGTTTTTGTTTTATGTTAATTAATTATTTTTTTAGTATCGGCTAGAGACCTTCACTGAATCCAGATCATCTGAATGGAAGACAACACCTTACAGGGGTAAGTAGGATTCTGATGTCAAGTAAGAATCTTGCATGATCAGCCTCTTCTATAGTACAGGTCTAACTGCTGTGTTGTGCATTTCTGCCAGAAGGTAATGAAAAATTTGCACAGGAAAAGTTACCTTCCTACTCAGCTGCCAAACTGCAGTTATTAAAAATAAAATAAAACACATGCCCAGATAAAAATACTATGACAATTCATTACACACCTTAAGCACGATAAGCCAGTTGATTTATGAGTGTGGTATATGATTTATGTAGTTTGGAAGTTGAAATAAACTAGATCCTTGAAGGAAGCGTTCTAACTCCATAAGAACACAGACGTTCTGGTGTGTACTGGAGCTTACTGAGATTTCGTGCCTAATTTATACAGTTCTAATGTAATGGGGGGAACACTGCGGTCTATCGTAAGGCAAATGTTATAGAAACTAGGAGACAACCAACATTTCAGAGTTATTAGGAGTTGGCAAACCAGAAGAGATTTGGGTTCTGGTAGCCTTCAGGCAACACGTCAGATAGAGTTGGTTGAAATTTTTCAAAGCAAACATTTTTGCTGAAAAATGGCCTTTTTTTCAAAAATGAAAAATTTTGCAAAAAAAAAAATCTTTAAAGAAATTTCTGCTTTATTGATTTAACTGGGAATGAATCATTTTCACTTTTCATTTTTTCCCCAGTTTTTGTTTTTTCCTTTTCCTCCTCTTTTTGACAGGCAAAAAAAAAAAAAAAAAAGATAAAGGAATGGAGGGGGAAAAAAAAGAAAGGGGAAAAATAGGGGTGGGAGCTGATGGAAGAAAAAAAAGGCCAAGAAAGGGTGGGGGGAGCAAAGACCCAAACCCTGAAAATTCTTGGTTTCATGAAAAATTTCAAACAAACAATAATCATTCCTTTTTGCAACTTGCAAAATGGATGACTTAGAAATTTTCAAGATATTTTGCAACCTTTTTTTTGACTGTGTCTAGTTGAGTCATATAATCATGGAGGGATTTGCCAAACTGGTGTGGAGTGATTCTATTCCTCCTGAGGGAAGCAGAGCAAAAAAAAAAAAAAAAAAAAGGGGGGGGGGGTTTCTTGGCTATCTCTCAGTTTAAGGATTTCTTTTTCTTTTTCATGATCACTGACCATTCCATTCATTGGGGACATGAAGCCAAGATTTACTGAACACAATTGCTTGTAACTAATATGTTCCTGATCCTGTAAACACTTAGGCATTTGCTTAATTTTGCTAACCTTGATTTCAATTGGGACTACTCATAGTAGTAAAGATAAGCATGCAGAAAAGTGTTTGCAGGATTAGGGCTCTCAGGAAGTGTTTTTCACTGAATTTGGGAAACAACGGTGAGTTTGATTTTTTTGTAATCTTAATTTCTCAGAGGAAATTTGACTATGCTGCATTCATACCATTTTGGTTGAATATTTTAGCTGGAATTGATTGTATTTACAAAATACTCTATAACATTTTCCTTTTTGGGGCAGGAAAGAAATTATGGTTAGTAAACAATGGAACTCTTTGACCTAAAAATGGTATTTATTTTAGTTAATCACCTTAACTGGGATCAACATAACAGATACAGGTGTGGCATGATTTAATTGCAGGTGTCAGGAAATACCAGGTGTTTGTACTCAATACAGTTTTGTTTCTGCTTCAGATGAATTTGTTGACTCCTTTTTGCTTGGGCCAGCTCCTTTGCCATGGAATATACAAGTGGAAGCTCCTACCTTGTTCATAGACAACATAACCAGAGTCAAAGTGCCCCATACGTCTTCATTAAAGGTATTATAATCATAGAATCATAGAATTGTAGGACTGGAAGGGACCTCGATAGGTCATCTAATCCAGTCTCCTGCACTCAAGGCAGGATTAAGTATCATCTATCCATGTGGAGATCATTGTGGGCCGAGGAATGTGTTGCCTGAGGGATGTGCTGGCCGCTGCTTCCCGCACGCGGCCCATCAGGAAAATCTGCTGGCGGGCCGGGATGGTTTGTTTAACTGCAGCGTCCACAGATTCGGCCGATTGCAGCTCCCATTGGCCGCAGTTCGCCGTTCCAGGCCAATGGGGGCTGTGGGAAGCAGCGGCCAGCTTCCCACAGCCCTTTTCTGAATCTTTTCTGAATCTTCCTAAATTCCAATATATCTTTTTTGAAATGGGGCAACCACATCTGCACACAGTATTCAAGATGTGGGCATACCATGGATTTATATAGAGGAAATATGATATTTTCTGTCTTATTATCTGTCCCTTTCTTAATGATTCCCAATGTTTTGTTCACTTTTTTGACTGCCACTGCACATTGAGTGGATGTTTTCATAGAACTATCCACAATGACTCCAAGATCTCTTTCTTGAGTGGTAACAGCCAATTTAGACCTCATCATTTTATATGTATAGTTGGGATTATGTTTTCCAATGTGCATTTATCAACATTGAATTTCATCTGCCATTTTGTTGCCCAGTCACCCAGTTTTGAGAGATCCCTTTGTAGCTCTTCGCAGTCTGCCTGGGACTTAACTATCTTGAGTAGTTTTGTATTATCTGCAATTTTTGCCATCTCACTGTTTACCCCTTTTCCCAGATCATTTATGAATATGTTGAATAGGACTGGGCCCAGTACAGACCACTGGGGACACCAGTATTTACCTCTCTCTCCATTCTGAAACCTGACCATTTATTCCTACCCTTTGTTTCTTATCTTTTAACCAGTTACCAATCCATGAGAGGACCTTCTCTCTTATCCCATGATTGCTTACTTTGCTTAAGGACCTTTGGTGAGGGACCTTGTCAAAGTCTTTATGAAAATCTAAATACACTACATCCACTGGATCCCCCTTGTCCACATGCTTGTTGACCCCCTTAAAGAATTCTTGTAGATTGGTGAGGCATGATTTCTCTTTACAAAAACCATGTCGACTCTTCCCCAACAAATTATGTTCATCTATGTGTCTGACAATTTTGTTCTTTACTATAGTTTCAACCAGTTTGGCCGGTACTGAAGTCAGGCTTACCAGCCTGTAATTGCTGGGGTCATCTCTGGAGCCTTTTTTAATAATTGTGTCACATTAGCTATCCTTCAGTCATTTGGTACAGAAGCTGATTTAAATGATAGGTTACAGACGACAGTTAGTAGTCCTGAAATTTCACGTTTGAGTTCCTTCAGAACTCTTGGGTGAATACCATCTAGTCCTGGTGACTTATTACTGTTTAGTTTATCAATTTGTTCGAAAACCTCCTCTAATGACACTTCAGTGTGAGACAGTTCCTCAGATTTGTCACCTAAAAAGAATGGCTCAGGTTTGGGAATCTCCCTCACATCTTCAACCATGAAGACCGATGCAAAGAATTCATTTAGCTTCTCCGCAATGGCCTTATCCTCTGTGAGTGCTCCTTTAGCATCTTGATTGTCCAGTGGCCCCACTGGTTGTTTAGCAGGCTTCCTGCTTCTGATGTATTAAAAATTTTTTTTGCTAATACTTTTTGGGTCTTTGGCTAGCTGTTCTTCAAATTCTTTTTTGGCCTTCCTAATTATATTTTTATACTTCATTTGCCAGAGTTTATGCTCCCATGTCTTTGACCAGGTGGGGACATCCTCAGCCTCAGGGCTGCCCTAATTTGAACTGAGCTGGATAAATCTGCTTCCCTAATGTGCTATTATGACAGCTGGGGCAGGGGAACACCATAGCCACCTTCACTTCTCAAAGAATCCCCCTGACGCGCACTCTGCAATGAGGGATTCAGTGCGGAGTGGAGGGGAAGATGCATAGAGCCAGTTATGCCAGTGTTGCACCATCTGCAGGTTCCTCCTACACCAGGAGATACCACATGGCCCATTTAGGGTTCTTAGGACAATCATGAATAAAGCCCAATGTGAGTATATACAGAGTGTAAAAGCTAATATAATCATAGCTGATACTTAACTCCTTTGTAAAATGTTCTTAGATCTATGAGGGAAAAGTACTATACGGGGCGAGGTTTTATTTCAGAGAGAGCGAGAGAGAGATATTGAACCTACAGGACTGAATAAGTTTGTTAAAGGTTTGTGGCAGGTTTAGGAGCTTTTTCATATCAAGATGAATTCGATCTATCAGAATCCCAAATAATTTAATTATAAGTAAGAGAGTTATTTGTTTTTTTCAGTTTTTATTTCTATTTAAAATCACTATCCAAATATGGAAGCACCACTTTCTGCTTCCCTTGAGACATTTTTTTGTGTTTTGTAAAATCATGCCCAAGAGGGACTGGTATTTTGTGAGAAAAAGCCCTGTCTTTTGGGAAACCAGTGCTACAGTCCAGGAAAAGAGACGCTTTGGGACATTTTAATAGGGCGTGATTTAATAGATGTTTTTCTTTCCCTTGCTTTTGTAATAAGAAAGGAATTCTGAGGGCGTTATCTCACTTTAAATATGTGACCTCTTCCATCATTTAAATCTTACTTCTTAAAGGTGGGGAGGAGTGGAGGCTGGAAAATGGGCAATACACAGCCATGAAGAAAGACCAAGAACAAACTCAATAGGAGTCTAATATATGCTTTGATATGGAAGTTATTATTGTCTAATGGGTAAAGCAAATGAACTGGGGATCAGTACTCCTGAGTGCTGGTCCCAGCTCAGACACAGTCTCACAGTAGCCGCTCTGTGCCTTAGTTTACCCATCTGTTAAAATAATCAATAAGTGCTTCATTGTAGTCAGGAATGTTTGAATTCCAGTTATCCCCTTATAGGGAAAGAAATGAACTGACAGAATCACAGGACATGGTATCATAGTTTAATTTATTTGTGTGGGTATTCTCTTTGGAAGGGAAATTAGAATCCGTAAGTGAAGAGCAGCTTGTAACTCACAGATGTAGCATTCGTGCTCTCACGTAGGCTGTTCCCTTCTTGCTTCTCTACCATCTGTGCTAATTCTGGTTTAGCATGAATTTTTCTCTACACTAAGGCTCTCACTAGTGCTACCCCAGGGTCTAGTTGAACTAGTGTTAACACTGGTGGCGGTTTCCCCTCCTAGAATTCCCTAGTGTAAACATTGGTTTTAACCTTACTTCACACAAATTATAGAAGTGCATACATGGGCTATCATTCAGAATCACTCTCCCACTTGATTGGATGGACCTTTGGGTGTTGGCACCAATGAGCTTTCAGCTACTTTGCAACAAAAGACTCGCTATTACTTAACGACTTCTCTCCCGGTTTCACCTGTAGAAGTGTGGTGGTAATTTGGCTGTAGGTTGCTGTATAACTCTTTATGAACCTCGAATGAAAGGCCTTATAAAAGTGTAAAGAATGAGGTTTCTCTAGAATGTTTCCAATAAAGAAGAAAAAACATTTCCCATTGTCTTTTTTTGGGGGGGAGGGGGCGGGGGGGATACCAAGAGGCAGCCAGATAGTAACATAAACAGCTAAATTAAAGAAATGTCTAACCTTTAAAATTTCTCCTTTGATTTAAGGGCTGCCATAATTGTCGATGTTCAGGTACAATTCGCTGCACAAAGTGTCATGGAAAAGGAAAGGTGAGTAGCCATGCCTAAGGGGATCCTTTGCTTAGGACTGAATTTATTCTGGGGCAAGGTGTCAAACCAAGAACCAGGCAAAGATGCTGAAATCAAATAGCTTTGGGAGGTTAGAAGGGGAGTGAGGTTGGCTGTGAAGAGTTCACAATTGTATTGTGCTCTGTTTTACAGCATTTATTGTTATTTATTATTTGTATTATCGTAGTGCCTAGGAGTCTCTGTCATGGACCAAGACCCTATTGTGCTAGGCACTGTACAAACACAGAACAAAAAGACAGTTTCTGTCACAAAGAGCTCACAGATCTAAGCATCTCTCAAGCAGTTCATGGGACTTACTTGTGTAGTAAGGTGCTGAGTGCAATGGTGGTTTGTGGAGTAGGGCCCTTAAAGATTAATTTATGCTTATTAGGAATGCTTTGGTCAAACATGTTACAGGACTCAGTGCAGGGTTAACTATGTGAAATTCTATGGCCTGTGTTGTACACACTAGATGATCTAATTACCCCTTCTGGCCTTAAAGATCTATGAGTCTATTAAACTTGCAATCCATTTTCCATGTGAGGAAATGAAGGTTACAACACCAGCAAACTGCTCTGGCAAAGTATATATAGCTCTGACTTTTCCATCTAATTAATGCAGGTACAGTGCTGGATTTGTCATGGCTCTGGGAAGCAAATGAATGAGGACAGATGCACACACTGCAGAGGTTCTGGTCGGAGCAGGTGAGTCAACACTGAAGGAGAAGCCAACATGGGAAGTCCATATTTTAATTAGCATCAGCTTCAAAACTAGGGCTCGTTGGCACAGGGATGGAATACTGCTATATTCAGGGACAGTTCAACGTCAGATTCTTAGGTGGGCTCAGCTAGCCACTGTAGCTGTACAAGTATTGATTGGTTTGTGAAAATGCCTCTCAGTGCTGGGCTGTGGCTGCCCAGGATAGTCAATGAAGTCCAGCTGTTGCTGTTGAACCTCCCGCTGGAATGAGCAAAATGTATTATTCATTCTGGGGCCGGGGCTGGCCCTGAGTTTTTTAATGCGCTCTTCAAAATAAGACCTGTAGAGTCCCATCCAACTTCCTTCCCACCTATAAGGAAGCTCCGTTTATTTGCAGAGCATGGTGTTTCCCTCCACTGATCACTTTCTGCCTGCAAGTCTCGTGTTTTTTCTGTTTGTGAAGATGTATTGCCTTCGATGGCTTCCCTAGGAAGCCATGGGTTACAGGGGAAGCAATTATCTCCAAGGCAGGAGGGCAGTTGGAGAATTCAACCCAGCTGCAGCCTAGCTCTGGAAGAGCTATTCCTTGAAATTTACAGCTGCGAATAGTGTGTAGCACTGGGATGAAGGTCAGTCTGTTCTACTGTGCTGTCTCATTTTTCTGATGGGGTGGCAGTACCTCAGTGGCAGAACTGCCATGTACATGAAACTGAACTTTGTGCTTGGAGAACAATGTTTCTCCAGTGCTTTGGTGGCATCAGCTACCCAAGACATTGCAGTGAAGCTGTACAGTGCTGCTGGAAACACTTATAGAATCATGCTAAGTGTAAATAAACTTGTGACTGGAAACAGAGAGTAGACTTCATGGCTTAAACATATATATATAAAATATCAGATTAGGACTCAATACTGTAAATACTTGCTAATGGGTATAGTACTTTCTAGCAGGAGTCAATGGGTCAGTGACTTTATTGAAATCATGTTCTTCAATGAGACAACTCCTGGTAGTAGACACGATGGCAAATACTAAGCATTGGCTGGACTGAATCCCCAATGTGATGCCAAATGAAGTGTGATGTGTGTGTGTCCATGCACACACACAGTGTATGCATTCAAAATCACTGTAGTAATAGTTTCTCACCATCCATTCTAATTATCATTCTTTGTCTACAGTTGCAACAGTTGTTCTGGTTCAGGCCACAAAACCTGCATAACGTGTGCAGGAAAAGGACAGTTGCTGTACTACATTGAGCTTCAAGTCAAATGGCAAGTCTAATAAAACTTTAAATAATTGCAGAGAAGCTCCTTCTTCTTCACTGTTGTACATACAGGGTTTAACTGGCAGTGTTCTGACAGGCCAGATTGTGATATGCTGCTTTCCCTCAGGAAGGGGGCTGTTAGGATTTCAAGAACATTACCAGCTTCATAAAGTCGGGCTGTGCACATATCCATACCAGCTAATTATCATTTCAAAAAGTCTGTTGAAATTTACCAGAAAGCTCCAAAAGAGAGCAGCATCTTAAGAAAGAAATTGGAGGAGACAAACTTTGTGAAAATTTACAGTAATCATGGTGAAGTTGAAAGCTTAGTTGTGGCCCTTTAGTAAAATGGGATCAAAGCTATGGGCTATGTCAACAGATCATCTCTCTGATGTGCCAGCAACAAAGAAACATAGATTAGGACTAGACTCAGTATCACATCACTGGCTGTTTAATCATTGATGACTATTTAGGGAGGAGCCACAGTAGAGAATAGGAGAGTTATTCCCTGCGTATTTAATTAATGAGATCCTTGTTGTTCTACACTGCGCTTCATATAAAGGAGAAAAAATGTCCTTCCCTGACTCAATGACCAGGGTGGTACATGGAGTACCAGACGGGGTGGTCTAACAAGTGCCTGACAGAACAGCAGTTTTACCTCTGGCTTTGTATCCTGCCCCTTTGCTAATCTACTGTAGTGCAGTATCTTCTTTGACTTTTCAGTCTCCAGATTGGGTTAGAGTTCCCAGATGGTTTTATATTGTTCTGAATTAAACCACTGTTGTCCTCTGTTGGCCCAGTCACTGACTTAAAGATTGTTCAGCCATTGTTATTTTAATATTTGTAATTTTCAAAGGCATTTTATTTTAATATCACTTGATGGACTTTTTAAGAGGATCGTTACAAAGAACAAATATAAATAAACCATCTCAGCATTTCAGTTGGATCCATTACAACTGGAATTTGAATGCCAAAGTCTCGAAGTTTGCATTCCAGCATAGCATGCCTCCATATTATCATTAGAAAAGTACAAAGAACACCATGTGGTATGTTTAAAGCTCTGCTACCAGGAATCTCAGTATAGACTGGAGAACTTATTTAACAACTCTGCCTTGTGGAGTTTGATGTTTTTGTAGCACAAGAAACACAAAAAGGACGGTCCCCTCTAAAATCCATTTGAGTAAGAGGAGATACAATAGGTGACAATATCTGTGTCCTTGCTCTTGTAGGAAGAACAACATTTTTGAATATGTGGCGGACCAAAGATCTGGGTTTCCTGCTGACCGCTTCAAGGAGGTCACTGGGCAGAAGAAGTTTGTTGATGAACAGTCCATGGTAATGAAACTCTAGACTCTACCACCTCTTGAAATAACAAAATGAGAGGTCTGGAAACAGAACAACTCCCATAGCCTGAGGTGGAGTTTACTGAGAATTTAAAGTGTCACAAGAAGAAAAAGACATTTGAGAACACAGCGCTCTGTTATTCTGGTTACTAATGTAACTAAATTAGTTAATTCTCCTATGTCATCTACAGTAGGGTTTTCCTTTTTTTAGTAAAAAATGCTGGTTTGGGATATTTTGTGTGTGTATCAATTCACCTCTTTGGCTTGATAACCAGAGGTGCTGCTCACCCGCAAATCCCAAATGAAGTCAATTGGGAGTGAGAGATGTTCAACACTTTTTACTATTCAGACCAGGGGAAAGTCCTGTAAATCCCTGCAACATGGATCTCATTAACAACCTATATTCTCCACAAAAATGGGCCAAATCCTCTGTTGGCATAAACTGGTGCAGTTCCATTTAAGTCAATGGAGATGTGCTAATTAACACTAGCAGATAATGTCGTTCCATGTTTACCTCTGCGGATCCGGGTGTATGTGGGTTGAAAGGTGCACTTGCCCTGCATTTGGCCTGTCGGTCATATATCAATTGGGCTAGCAGTGTATGGGTTTATGGTCACTGGGCTCATGTAAATTCCCAGTGCTCACACGCAAATAAATAAATTTCAAATATATTTAGTTACATGCAGTTTACTTTAGAGATGGTCCCAAAGAAACCCCCCAGATCTAAACAGCCTCCAGCTTTGTGATGTTGGAAATCCAGATCTAAATTTTGCAGCTTTGTTCCTCTCCAGTTTACATATTTGCAGGAGCTTTCAAATAGCAAATATAAATGCGATTTCTTCTGATTTTCCTGGTGGCTAACCCTCTAGAGGTTCTCCAGGGACCAGCCACCCCTGCACAGCACCTACCATAGTTTGTTAATCTCAGACTGGTTCTGAGTTCGAGCCCATGTCTGGGGCTTCTAGGTGCTGCCATAATACAAATAATAATAACAGAAGCACTCCTTTTTGGGGTGGCTTGGTATTTCATAACACACTCCAAGTCCTTCTTAACCATCTGCTTTTGGAGATGCTACAAAATGGATGATACATAATGGATTTCCTACAGGGTATATTTGGAATTGATTGCAGTGATTCTTTAGAGCCTGCCAAGGAATCCACAATCAAATGCAATTAGGCTACTGCCCTGGAAATCCAGAGCCTATTCCTTTTCAAGTTTTAGCCCATAGGGTTTATGTACACTTTTTGCCCCAGTGTAGATGTGCTGTGTCGGTGTAAGACATGACTTGCACTAGTGTGACTAACCCCCTTTTGAAATCTAGTATAGACAGGCCCTTAGTTTTTAGCAACTGCAACACAATTAGCTGATACCTCGCAGCAATGAAGACTGCTGAAAAAGATACTCGGGAAGAATGCAATTGTTTTCTTTACAACTGGCACAAAACGTCCTACAAAACCGTACTCACGTGAATCGCTTTTCTTTATGCAAGCAATCCCATTTACCTCACTAGCCAGATCCTCGTTGATGTAAATTGGCATAGCTCCATTGATTTGGTCCACTGCTGTGAACAAAGATTACTCATGTGAGTGAGGGTTTTTCTCCACTGCGACACTCAGGAAAATTAATCTGAATTAACTACAGATGTGAATTTTAAATGAATTAGTTAAACTGCATTAAACCCCTGTCTGGATGCACCGTAATTCAGAATTGAAGTGGCCTTAATTCACTCTGGAAGTGAATTAAACTAAACCGAATTACAGCCACTTTAATTCTGAATTACGGTGTCCACACAGAGATTTAATGAAGTTTAAAACTATCCACTTAAAATTCCCACCTTTAGTTAATTCAGATTAATTTTCCTGAGTGGGAACAAGCCCTGAGAGACCTCAGGACTGAGATGGGCCTGATATTTGGAAGCAATTGTGATCTCCTTCCAATTTGTGTGTCTTAAATGTTTTCCATTTCTCCAGGTTTACCCTGTTGTGAATTTTCCTGATCCTTCCATCAGTCAGGCTTCCCAGAATGCTGTTGTGCAACATCACACTCAGTTTGCATCTACATCTCGTGTACTGAGACAGGTGAGTGCACTGCAGCCCAAGTGTAACAAGAGGATGCAAAGCAACTAGTTTGTGGAAATCAGACTGGACCAGCTTAACATTTGTGCAAGTTTCACCATGCCCTTTTTTATTGGACCATTTGAAACAATTCTTCAAGCACCAGAGCAAAAGACTTTCCATTAGGTGGATAATGACTATTAACATTAAAGGGATTGGATTTTCTTAAGTGCCTGCATTTCAAGACCTTTAAAACATCTTTAATTTGATTTAGAATGGGAGGGAGTGTAATACTGAGCATAAGAGAACTGTCAACGAGATAGAACATGGTACTGGGAGACTGGAACTCCTTGAGTTAGAATCGCAACTCTGCCACTGATTACCTGTGGATGGGTCAGCTCACTTCTCTGTGTGCCTCAGTTTCCACATCTGTAAAATGGGACTTATCATGCTCTCTTACCCGGGGTGTGGTGCGGATTAATTATTTAATGTTTACACAGATTGCAAAGTGCTACATAAAGTGCTTTTGAAAATGCCACCAAGAGAGTTTACAAATCCTCCTGTATTGTATAGATTTAGCTTCATTAGCCTTGTATTTTCTCTCTCTTTCTTCCAGAGGCAAACTATTGAGCTGATCCCTCTTACTAAAGTGGAATACGAGTGGCAAGGGGAACGGTATTCCTATTACGTGTATGGAGATGAAAATAGGGTGTACGCAGAGAACTACCCCAAAAAGTGCTGCTGCTCCGTTATGTGACTGACTGATCACTTCTCAGCACGCCAAGGACCGCGGCGGTTGTCCAGACCCATGCAAGGAAAAGCTTCATCTCGTACTCGTTTTGTTTTGGTCAATAGAAGTTCATTGATTTGCATGTTTGGGGCAGGCTGCAGCAGGAAGAAAATGGGGGAGCGAGAGTTTGTCAAGCTGATTATTCAATTCCAGGACTGGATCCTGTATGTATGTCACAATCCCTGTGGGGCTGCTTGGCTTTTGCTGTGGCTCTCCTTGTCCCGCCCTTGCCACTCGTAGAATACAAACTCCATTTGGGATTACAGTACCATTTAGTTTCTGCACTGTGTGTGGGCCTGGCCTAATCTACCTTTACTCAGACTTCACTGGGTCTCTTGGCATTAATAAGGTCTACATTTTTATGAGTAAGGGAATACAAGGAAAACAGGGCCTAGGTCTGTGTCTTCTATTATCAGTAGTAGTAAAAATTATGTGACCGAACAGTCTGCCCTGTCTTACGCTAGGGAAACCCGCTGACTTCAGTGAAGTTGTCTGTGGCAAACCTTGAGGCAGCATTTTAACTCTTCTAACAGAATCTCCAAATGAAGATAAACAGAGAAGGAAACAGGACAAATTGTGGATTTTTTTTTTTAAATTAAGTGTATAGGGCTTGACTAAAAGCCTCTTGAGGTCAATGTGAATCTTTCCATGACTTCAGTGGATCAGGTTTATAATGCATATTATTAATCACCCACTATCAACTTCTAACCTTTCTTGCTGCTGAGTTTTCAGCATGTTTGGATCGTTCCTCATTTGCCATGTGACTGTGATACACACACACACACATCTGTAGTTTCTCTTTCTGTACCAATGTCATAGTAATAAAATATGACTAGGTAGGATTCCTGTTAAGAATAAATGTATCTGGGCAGATGTGCTAACAACACTGTAGTAATAATGCCCAAGTGTTTACTTGCACATGCTTGTCAAATCCAGTTTTTGTAGGTGGGATATAACCAGGGTGGACTGCATTGTTCTTTTAAATAGTTAAGTGGGATTTAGTGGCTGTGATAAGAGCTCCGGAGAAGCTATTTGTCCACATATCCAGTATAAGCAATGGGAGTTTAAACGTCCTCCTGTTCTGCTAACATACTGTCAGTGTGCCCTAACCTTGACCTGAAGGGATCAAGTTGGGGGCTAAGATGGTAGCCCAACTGCCATACCCACTCAGTCTTTGTCCTCTGCTAACACTATCAGTAGTTCTAACTGGTGTCAGTTTATTGTTATTACTATTAGTTGTGTTGCACGGGAGCCCCACTCATGGACCAGGACCCCACTGTGCTAGGCACTGTACAAACCCAGAACAAAAAGTGAGCCCTTGTCCCAAAGAACTTACAATCTAAGTTAGAGTTTACAATCCAGTTGTGCTGGTTTTGTCCACTAGGAAATGGACTGAAATCACTAACCAATTCTGCGTACAGCAAGGAAAGGCCATCAGCTGTGGTCACTCACTTGGAAGTGACCTAGACGAACCAGTGCTAATGACTGCATGGATAACATTTTCAAAAGCACCTACGTCTCATTAAACATGGGCTCCTAAGTCACTTAGGTGCTTTTGAAAATGTTACCCTACATTTAATATTTACTTGGGTAATAGTGTATCTTACCCAATATTTTGCAGAGCAAAAACCACTTTCAGACTGATTTATTGTTGCAAAATGACTTCTGTCATGAAAACCAAAAGTATTAGTCACCATAAGCAGAATAATTGAACCCCTGATACCAGCAGTCAGGATCGGGTACTTTTGATGCCACTGCAAGAATCATATTATTTAGTATGTTTATAACACTTCACCAATTATAAACATTCAGCTTTAAATTCAGGGATGTTTAGAAAGCATCTCTTTGTCTGATAGTGAATGTAAATTTGGATGGGCCATGGATCAGAATTTAACAGACTCTGGTACCCTTTGCTTAAACATCTAAGGTAAAAGAGGGCTTGTTCTGTTGTAGAATTGATACAAGTGTCTCGGGTGAACATTTTGATTTGGGGGTAAATCTGAATGAGCTCCATTGACTTCAGAAGAATTATTGTGGATTTACATTAATGAAACCAAGATCAGAATCTGACCCTTGGTAGAAATTAATGTAATTTGTTTGATTTTTCAACAGCAGAATTATGTGGCTAAACTAGCTATTACTTTGCCCCAGTCCCATCTTTCCCAGATTAATGTGTATGTGTGCTGGAAAAATTTGAACAGGCTGAATAATTTCAAAAATACGGATCTGAATGTTTCCCCTTGTAGTATTTTTGGATAGTCTTTGTTTTTAAAATCTTTAACCAGGATCTTTTCAGCAGATCAAATGTAATTTTTTTCAAAAGTGCCTCAATGGTTTAGAAGTAGAGCTGGTTGGCGAAACTTCAATAAAACCATATTCCATCAGAATATACAGTGCTGTCAAAATAAAAATGCTTTGCTAAATCAGGTCAATTTTGCTGGAATTTAATAGTGGAAGAAAACTGGAAAAAAGTTTTGATTTTTTTTTGTTTTACTTTGAAATCACTTTTTGTTTTGAATTGTTTTTATTTTGTATTATAAAGTATTTTTTTTAAAAAAGTCAAAACTAAAACATTTTGACCCACCTTACATGGAAATTCTTCAGAATCTTCCTTTGCAGAGAATTTAAAAATACTTGGTTTGCATTCTAATCTGAAATGAAGTCAAAATTTGAGATCTTGAAATCCTCTATGAAATGGAGCATCCATCCCTTGCATAGCTCTGCTTAACCTAAATCCCCAAAACAGACTTAAGAACCTAAGTCCCATTGAAAGTCAATGGGTCTCAGGGTCCTAAGTCTGTTTTGAAAATGGATCTTACGATCTTTTGTATATTTTACCCCAAATCTTTTCAGAGAGCAGCATAGGCATGAATACAGCTTAGGTGCATATACAGATAAGCAATGCAACATTTAAAACAAGAGACACAGAATGAGATTTTATTACATTATGTTCCTAGACTATATATCATGACTTTTTAAAACTGGAAAGATATTTCATCAAGTCAGATTTACTTTTCCCATAAATGTTGCATGGCACTGCAATATACAGAAGACCAAAGAGCAATACAAGTTGCCAGTTTTCAAGGTGTGTCTGCAAGGGTGGAAAATGTGTTTAGTTTATTGTAATAACACATTTATGAATAAATAATAGCATAATGTTCACCTCCAAGAATAACTTCTTATCTGCTAGTTTAAACATTTATTAGTTCTATGGTGCCATCTAGTGTGTGATTATATCAGTGCAAACAATAAAACATTTCCCTTTTTTCTAACAACAGGCCCATTGGGCCTTATTCTGTTTTCATTCACACCAATTTTAAACAAGTATAGCATGACGTACATTGACTTTAATGTAACATTTTGTGTCTTCGATGTGTGACTTCAGTGGAATTACTCTGAATGTGCAAGAGAGTGAGAGACTGTCGCCCTGGTCTGTGCTGATCAGATGACAAATTTCCACCTTATCTGACTTAGCGATTCATAAATCTTTGTTCTCCCTATTTGGGCTGGACTTCCCAAGACAAAATTTTGTCACCAGAACCTGTTGTTTCTGATGGAGGTGGATTTAAAGTAGAAATAGCGGCCATATTGGCATTTTGCCACTTTGAGAACCATGATGTACAGAGGCCTAAGAAAATGAAAAACAAAGTTAGCCAAACTTTCTCAATCCTGGAGAGTTGCAGTTTGAGTTTTTGGTGGAGGTTCCCAGGGGCACGGCATGCACGGCTAGATTCTGGTCTAACTCCACTGAAAGTCACTGGAATTGCACTTGTGTAAAGTCAGTTATAGTGAGAGAAGAATCAGGACTAAGAGACTTATCCTGGAATTTGCCTGTATAAATGACAGGTTTCAGAGTAACAGCCGTGTTAGTCTGTATTCGCAAAAAGAAAAGGAGTACTTGTGGCACCTTAGAGACTAACCAATTTATTTGAGCATAAGCTTTTGTGAGCTACAGCTCACTTCATCGGATGCATACCATGGAAACTGCAGTAGACATTATATACACACAGAGACCATGAAACAATACCTCCTCCCACCCCACTCTCCTGCTGGTAATAGTTTATCTAAAATGATCACTCTCCTTACAATGTGTATGATAATCAAGTTGGGCCATTTCAAGGTGTCCCCTGAATAGATATGTGGACACAGTTGGCAACGGGCTTTGTTGCAAGGATAGGTTCCAGGGTTAGTGGTTCTGTTGTGTGGTATGCGGTTGTTAGTGAGTATTTGCTTCAGGTTGGGGGGCTGTCTGTAGGCAAGGACTGGCCTGTCTCCCAAGATTTGTGAGAGTTTATCCTTGCAACAAAGCCCGTTGCCAACTGTGCCCACATATCTATTCAGGGGACACCATCACAGGGCCTAATAGCATCAGCCACACTATCAGAGGCTCGTTCACCTGCACATCCACCAATGTGATATGTGCCAGCAATGCCTCTCTGCCATGTACATTGGTCAAACTGGACAGTCTCTACGTAAAAGAATAAATGGACACAAATCAGATGTCAAGAATTATAACATTCATAAACCAGTTGGAGAACACTTCAATCTCTCTGGTCACGCAATTACAGACATGAAGGTCGCTATCTTAAAACAAAGAAACTTCAAATCCAGACTCCAGCGAGAAACTGCTGAATTGGAATTCATTTGCAAATTGGATACTATTAATTTAGGCTTAAATAGAGACTGGGAGTGGCTAAGTCATTATGCAAGGTAGCCTATTTCCCCTTGTTTTTTCCTACCCCCCCTCGCGCCCCAGACGTTCTGGTTAAACTTGGATTTGTGCTGGAAATGGCCCACCTTGATTTTCATACACATTGTAAGGAGAGTGGTCACTTTGGATAAGCTATTACCAGCAGGAGAGTGAATTTGTGTGTGTGGTTTTTGGAAAAAAGGGGGGGGGGTGAGAAAACCTGAATTTGTGCTGGAAATGGCCCACCTTGATTATCATACACATTGTAAAGAGAGTGGTCGCTTTGGATGGGCTATTACGAGCAGGAGAGTGAGTTTGTGTGTGTGGGGGGGCGGAGGGTGAGAAAACCTGGATTTGTGCTGGAAATGGCCCAACTTGATTATCATACACATTGTAAGGAGAGTGATCACTTTAGATAAGCTATTACCAGCAGGAGAGTGGGGTGGGAGGAGGTATTGTTTCATGGTCTCTGTGTGTATAATGTCTTCTGCAGTTTCCACAGTATGCATCCGATGAAGTGAGCTGTAGCTCACGAAAGCTTATGCTCAAATAAATTGGTTAGTCTCTAAGGTGCCACAAGTACTCCTTTTCTTTTTCCTGTATAAATGAGATCAGAATCTGGGACTCAGTCTTGAAATCTTTCCATCAGGTGGGGTATGCAATAGGCTGCTTACTAACAATTTTGCCAAGCAAATAATCCCACCGCAGGGAGTTTACCATTTTAGAGTCTGAACTGTTATGCCAAAGTGTTAATAAAATGCATGTAATGACTTAAATATATGTGTGACCCAAGCATGCCATCTGGCAGATGGCTTAGGGGTACATATGGGTACAGGGATCCCCTGATCAGATAACGTCCATGCTGAAAGCCTGTGTCACACTGGTCCTCATAGTCATTATGAGATGTACGTATGGAAAACGTGTGAGGAGTTATGTGTATATGCTGAAAATTACGTTCTCTAGGCCTTGCAGTTAAAGGCAGGTTACATAAAGTTAGCATGCCTTGCAACAAACTTCTCCAGACAGAAGGTGTGAGGTGGACCACAGTGAATCTCACAACAGAAGTCTATTAGCACACTGAGACAAATGCTAATGAAGAGCTTGTGGAAGCTTTAGAAGGAGATTAACAGGAAGAGGTGAACAACAGAGGGAGACTGGAACCCTATTTTCAGATGATCATGAAAGGTCTGGTCTGGTCTATGTAGGTAAGATGAACCCTCAGGCATCCTTCAGTCTGTGAGGACAAGCTGCCAGTAGGTTTGATTTTATGAAAGGGGGATCTCAGCCAACTGGGCTGAAAATGCTGGGGAAAAGGACTTTTTAAGCTCTCTTGTATGAGACAGGGAACTATCTTATCAGTGTAGTTGTATCTGTGTTGGTCCCAGGATATTAGAGAGGACCTCCTGAGTTCCCTTCCAACCCTGATATTCTATAATTCTATGAGGCAAGGTGGGTGAGTTAATATCTTTTATTGAACCATCTTCTGTTGGTGAGAGAGACAAGCTTGTTTGGTGATTTAAGTTTAGGGTCTAGAAAGTGTATTTTGATTTTGTTGGATATGTAACCATTTGTTTCCAATATTCTTACTTCCTATTATTTGAATCTCTGTCCTTTGATAATAAACTTTATTCTTGTTTTCACTATGAACATATCTGGCCGCTGCGTGTTATGTGGAGTGGTGATTCCGAGCTGAATCTTACAAGCGTTGGGAGCAGCACCTCAGCGAGTTCCGAGAGTGTTCAGTGGAACAGGGACTGGACACTCCAAAGGGACGCTTGGAGGACTCGGGGGTTAGAGAGCTCCTATCACTAACCTGTACAGAGAGAGCAAGGTCTGCAGAGGCTTGGCATGTAGCGCTTGTGTCGTCAGAGGTTAAGGGCCTTGCAACCTAGGATACCCCAGGGAAGTGTCACAGTAAGTATGCAATATGAAACACTTCATACGTAGAGGGCCTGGCCCCAGGGACACCATACTGTAACAGCATCCAGATGGTCGCTAAGGGATGTGGAGTAAGCCTTTTCCTGCGGATGGGGTTAGTAGAGAAGCTGTCTCCACATAAATCTGTAGCGGTTCTTTTCTGTTGCAGATCAGCTGCGCGAAAGCAGGGTTAATGTCCAGACCCTCCAATATACCCCATACAGGCCAGAGCTAGGAGTTTTCAAGGTAACAAATTCAGGGGCCCAGATAGGAAAAAGGAAGATAGGGCTTGTCTGGACTACAGTTTTAGAAATACACATTTTTATTCTAATCTAGACAAGCCCAGTGGGCTGAAGCAGTCAGTGACCAAGAGATCTAGGCCCTTTTCCTGCCCTGTTGAAGTCAGCGGGAGTCTTTACATTGGGCACAGGATCAAGCCCTTAGAGATCAACTTTTTAAATAGCTGGCCCTGGCTGATTAAAAGTAGGGGGATGGCATGTTGAAGGAATGTATGTGATCCTGTACTTTCAGATTTAGTACAGACCCTGCAACTTCCTTCAACTGTGAGGCCTTTTGGGAGCTAAACACCAGCACAGGAAGTGTCATTTCTTGAGCAAACAGCAGTCAGTGTCTTTCAACAACAATGGAGCAAGAGCTGCAGATCGGGTGAGCTTAAGAAATAAGAATGTATTTTTGTGAAGGAGAGGCACAAACATTCTGCCGTTGGAATAATCATGGAATTGTACAGCCACTGCATGCGGTTTTAATACAGTAATGCAGAGAGAGGGAGGCTGCAGATTAAGAGAGCTATGAAACTGCGGGGGTTTTTTTTTAATCCAAACAAAAATAAAAATGTGGGGAGAATTTGTAGAAACGTCTCAGTTGGTTTTTAAATGTTAACTGTAATGTTTATAAAATGAAACAGTTTCCTTTCAGTTTATGCTGTTGCTAAGTCAGAGGGAGTTTTTCATCCGACTCTGGAAAGTTCCAGTGAATGCCAGTTAGTATGCTCAGTGTTGCCTTTTGTATGTTGTGTAAAGATGTCTTCATCCCATGATATGTATTTGAGTCAGTTATAGTTTGTTTCCATCAAAAACTCCTAGTTTTTGCTGCCCAGGATAAATACAATCCTTCCTGAGTGAGGCACGATAGACGCTTTCCCAAGACTAGGGGCAATTCAGTATATTCAACAAAGGTGAATGGCCATATTTTCAGATGTGGTTGCAGTGGATATATCTTTAAAATCCCACATTTTATCGTTGTAGCAATCTGCCCTGGTTTGAAAATGTAGTCCTATATGAAACTCACCAAAACAATGTAATTCACAGGTAAAGATTGCAGTACAGTTACACACCTAAAAACTGCATGTAATAATGTTACTACGGTGTTTAGAGTATTTATTATAGAATAACACAGTATTTTTCCTCCAGAAGGATGCTTAAGCATGATTTGAAGACTCTCAATTATTTTTTCAAAATGCAGCTTGGAATTGGACAATGTAGTACATTTTCACACTTCTTAAAGTAGGGCTATCCCTATGCCCCTTCCATCTCTTGAACAGTGCTGTGCTTGGGAGATTAACTTAGATGTGCAACTGCCAATACTAATAATAACAGGAGGCGTACATTTATCCTTTGAAGCACAATGGGCCAGATCCTCACTTGGTGCAAATAAGTATCTCCATTGAAACCTATGCTGATTTACACCAGTTGATAATCTGGGCTAACATTGCAAGTGTTTCCCTTGACAATGATGTATGCTGGGAGGGGGGGCGGGGATGTCGGTCTGTTTTCAGAACAGGTTAAATTGTCTCTCTGAGATCTCTTCCAGCTAACTGGAATAAGGTTTCTGTTGACTTCTTTCCCCCCCTTATTTTAAGCTCCGCACCCCTCTGTATTACATGCTTCTGCCTAGGATGTGATGAGAGGCTATTTTTGCAATGTTTCTAGTCCAGCTGAGAGCAGGAAGTACCAGAAATGCTAGGAAAATTCCTGCAGGACATTTTCAGAGATTCAGATAAACACATCATTCGTTTAACAACACACGGTTATCTCTAACTCCGTTGACTCCTGGGCAGTGACTCAGAGATCACACGGGTGTAAATGAGATAAAAATTTGTCCTGCCAGGACTGTTAGTTATAGCAATGGTATTACCCTTACAGCCCATTTTGGACTCTTCCCCTTTTTATTTTTAACCTTATTTGGATTTCCTTTTTAGAATCAGACATCTGGCATGATTCTAAACAGGTACCAAGAGCAAATTATCCAATGTCTATAAAAAACCTCAGACAGTTGACCTTTTTCAAATCAGCAAATTATCCAATGTCTATAAAAAAACTCAGACACCTTGACCTTTTTCAAATCAGTAGTTTTTTAATGCTATTTTTATGGTATGTTATTTCCTTGGGTGTTCTTGTTGAGGTTTTTTATGGAGATTGTTAGAGAAATGCTTAAGAAATGAAATAAAGAATAATTATCTAGGGTGAGCTACTTATGACAACATTATAGACTTTGGTTTACAAAGTGTCTGTAAGTTCTGCTTCAAGCATCTAGCAAAGTTTCTTTAAAATTTACAACACAGACTCAAGTATATGTTTAATACATCATATTATACCCGCATTGTTAAATACAAATAGTAAAGGGAAAATCTTAGGTGGCTGGTGATAAAGGTTTCTACACTCTGGGAATCAAGATTAAAAAATATCAGTTTATCAGTGGTAGAGTGGTCTACAAAAGGAAGAAAGGGGCACCATGCATTAAAACAAGATGTCTAAATAGCTTAATGTATTGTAAAGGTTGCCTTAGTGTACCCTGCCCTTCTCTGTATATTGTCCCTTTTGAACTGTAGCTCAATACAGTTTGAAGGTTTTTGGCTGCCGTAGAGACAGACCAAAACTTTGGATAACGTAAATGCTGGGAAATTCATGATCCACCTCTGGACATTGTGTCTCAGCCACATTTGTAGTTCTTTCAAAAAGTTCCAGGCTGATGACACTAAAGTCATTTATTTATTTTCCGACCAGATACAACTTGATCACTGGCACTGCAAACATCCTCACTGTGCCCCTAAGCCCTGGCCTGGAGGGACCACCTCTAGGTGTATGAGAGTTGTTCATTCTTCATTGCCACTCAGTCCTTGTCTTCTCTGCTAGGCACATTGATTGTGATGATTTTTTTATGTGATGTGGACACCTGACTTCTTAGAACTGAACCGAGACACCAAAATCATCTTTACCAACTACAGATCATCAGCAGTCACCTGATGTCTGTCACTTGTGGCCTAGACTGCATTTGAATTACTGGTGAAAGGCCCCATATCTCATTAAAAACCACCTTTGCGATCCAGGTCCCCATCGCTCATTTTTCATCCATCAAATGCTGTGAGTTTGTTTTAACGTGGCCTTCACATACAACACTCCTATCCCTCAGTCTCTGTTTTAGAAAACTTCCCCAATTAAACCGTGCAAAGCAGAGACTTAAATAGTTGCTTGCAGCTGCTATAGAATGATTCAGCCCAGATGAGAACCAGGACACCAACCAAAATATCAGAGAGAAGCATTTTAATTTAGGAAGCATTTTCTCAGCCCCCATAGACCTGCACAAGTTCCGGCAAAGCATACAGGAGTGATGGGGTTTAAGGCCCCCAAACAGGCTGGGAATCTCTCTCTTTGTATCTGGACAAAGCAGAACAATTATAAAGGGGATAAAAAACAGGTTAAAGACCTGCACAGGGGACCACCTGATTGACAACTGTATTTTTAATTCATACTAGGCTAGACCTTTGGCCACAATACAGTCTCTGTACCACTTTGCCAAGGCAAGGAGACTGTAAAACTGCTTTATCAGGCAACTGGTGATGACCCCGGAATGGGGGAATCTTTGGCTTGCGCGGTCGGTGTATAGACAGTTCTGTGCCATTCTATCCCATTGCCCCACAGCATTGAGGGCATGCCAGGGATAGGAGAAGCCTAAGCTAGAGAGTGCTGTGTTCCATCCATCCACTCATTGTACAGTGTATTGTGCAACCAGTTAAGTTAGTATGGAAAATCCAGTGATTAAGGGCTTGAAAACAGAACTGGCTTCTGATGAATGATTAGTGACAGTTTTGTGGTGAGATTGCTAGCAGGAGAAAAAAATGTAAATAGCACTTGCAATGGTAATCAAAGTTAAGAAACATTTTAAGGAGGTGAAGCTGGTTTCTGTTTACTTTTACATTAAGAAAAAACCCAACTCTGTTTCCATGAACATTCCAGCCAACCACAAATCTAATTCACGAAGGTGTTTGCAAAAGGGGTGCAAATACTTTCACATTGGTTTAAAAATGCAATGGACTATTCACAGGGCTTTTTTTTTTTTTTCTTTGCCACATTCTCACAACTCAAAGTAGCACACCCAACAAGCACAGCAGAGCATAGGCAATGGCAGAATGAGTTTCTCCTAAATTGCACTGCCAATGTGTCTCAACCTTCATTCTGCTGGGGCCTCCTCTAGGGGTGAGCGGATAATAAATACCACTAATCCTACGTCATAATGAATCATGACCTTGCTGTGCGTCCCCTTCTCCTAGCAAAGGGCTCATTTCATTATATTCTTTGTTTGCATTCTTCCAAACAGAAATGAAAGCCATCTGGATTATGGAAGTGAATGTCTCCTTTCTCCCTCTGTTGCACAAGGTATGGACAATGGTATTTGTAAATTAGCAGCTGTTTACCTGAGATAAGATCTAAACTACTAAGCAGGCCGTTTTCAAGCAGGATTGGCCAGGAGCAAACAAAATCCTTAGTTTTGTTTGTTGTCTTGTCTAAAAAATGAGGGAAACAAAAGAAAAGACCATTGTCCCACCTTGTTGACTTCAATACCAACAACACTGGGCTTCAAATAACTTACGCAATAACTAACAATTCAAATAGCCCATGCTTTGATTTTTGTGTGTATCTTTGGAAGCATTCTTAATGACATCATACTGGTATGTCAGAAAAGAATAACCCAAGCGCATAACAGTTCATAGTATATGAAGATACTAATATATTGCAAATTCTTAGGGCTTTGATTCTCCCCTGAATGATAAATGCTGTGTACCTGAAGGAAGGTTTGAGGCTCTCTTCTGAGAGACGCATAAAGCACATGATGGTCAGTGCTTTTCTTTTGCAGTCAGGCATGCTGATCATCACGATTGCAGCTCACGTGAAACGCCACATGGTTATGCTTGTTCCCCTCGAAAAAGCCCCCTGTCCTTTACCATGCATGAGCTGCACTTTCAAAGAAGGTAGCGTCATATTCAAATATTTACCCATTCTTTGACGACGTGAAAATCAGTTTTACAACAGCAACAACAGATCCAGTTATACTAACAACAGAAACAACAGACCTCGTTATATTATCTAGCACAGTCGGCTCAACTCATTTGGAGTCACAATAGGCTAGGAGTCTTCACCATACAGCAGAGGGTGCAAGATAGAGACAGCTGTCACATATACAGTACACTAGGTAAGTGAGAAAAGCAAAAATTCATGCGTTCCATTTTCTTATTTCAGTTACTTATTTTGGGCCAAATTCTGCACTGAATTACACACTGCACAACTCCACTGACATCAGGAAGGTTTCATGGGGCTATAATCAGTGCAAACAGGACTCTTAGTTAACTTACAGTTTGTGAGTAAATTTAATGCTTCTGAAAGTGAGCGACTAATAGCACCAGACGGAGGCAGGCCTGTTTTTTTTTTTTTTTTTTTTGGAGTGAAACAGCAATGTTATTATACTTAAAAATGAAGACTAAAAGACCCAGAACATTTCGGGCTGGTTTCTCACCCTACCAGTTGAATTTGCGGTTATTGTCAAGCTCCATTGGAAAGCAGTTATTCAAGGGCTTAGTCAGAAAAGAATCAAAGTATTATTTGTATTAGGAGAGGGCCCAGGGCTCCTGGTCAGGGATAGGCACCCTACTCATTGTACTAGGCACTGTCTGCACTGGGGCGGCATGCACAGTGTTGAATCACAGAGGATTTGCATTCGTGTCAGTTCTTGCAGATGCTCCCAGATTGAAGTGGGGGCCAGGGGCTCCCAGAGCACCACCGGCAATTGTCTCAACAGGCGATTCAGGCCTGCCCAAGATTACAGCTGTGATGCTATCACTTCTTGTTGGAGGCCCGGTAGGCAAACCAGAAGAGAGCAACAAGGTTTCCAAACAACACCTGAAACTGCACCGGGACATAATTGACATTAATGAACTGGACTGGGGTCCACACTTTCCAGTTCATTTTGAGTGCTACCCAGTAACCACTCTTTATCTTCTCAGCATGTTACAAGGCAGATGCTTTGGGACCTTCTCCCACACAGCCCTGCCGATGCACCTTAGGTCCTTAGCTTGCAGCATTCCTACTAGTCCAGTCCGGAAGCTATCTTGAGGAGAGGCTATTAAACTGTGCTAAATGGTGTGGTGATTTTGCGATGATCTTACACTAATGTGGATGAGGGCAGGTAAATACAATTCTGTCCATTTTTACAAATGAGGAGACTGAGGCACGGAGGAGTTAAGGGGTTTTCCCAAGGGCACATGTGAAAAAAAGAATTCATTTTATTCTGCTGCAAAGAATAAAATCTGGATGTTCACAGTCATGTTCCTTAAAGACAAAATGGCCTTTCCTTCCCTAGCATTGTGGCTAATAGTAACAATAAGTGCACATGAAGGAATATCTGAAGGTGGGTTAAAGCTGGCCAATAGTAAAGGGTAACAAAACCAATAATATGCCAGGCATGTGCTGCAGATACTGTACAAACTGAATGCTTCCTTTAAATGTATGAGTATTGAATATATAGCACACTGCCTGCATATTTATGAGAACAATATTGCCACGTTTCTGACCTGCAGTAACACAAAAGTTCCCATTAGAGGAGGAAGAGTCCTGTGGCATTTGGTGTTGCTCATTGCCACACCTTCCTGAATCCAAAGAACAAACTTGACGTCTGCATCTTGAACTCAGAAACATGGCAGAGATGTTTCTGAAACAAATTAACAGTGATTGTTCTTTATTCTCTTTGACTTTGCTCTTTGAGTCAATTTATTATGAATTCAATGAGCAGGTTTGTTTGCTACCGAAATAGGTTAATTTAGCTAATGACTTTATAAACTCTCTGGGTTGTTAAACACTTTTGGCTGGGCAGATCTGCCAGAGTGGATTCCTATGAAAGATTATTGCCTTCCTCCCTTGGCTACTAGAGAGATAGATTAGTTAGATAGACAGCTCCAGCACTGCCTTTTGCCTCATTTTGCTTGATCACATTCACTGCTTTTAGATTCCCACCCTCGAGTCTTTACCACCAGAATGCACATTCTTACCTGTGGCCACCATCTAACACTTCAAAGACTGACTAGAAGGGAATGCTTGAATAATATGTTTTTATATGGTCCAGAAAGGGGAGATCTTATAATTCAATGACCAACCCTGTTATTTTTGCAATATGGCTGATCTCCATTAACTTAAAAGTCAGGAATTTTGAGACTGCCCCTTAACCCACATTTTCTGCATCATCACAATACCACGGCCATCTACTTCTGTGGCATTTTTTAGGCAGTTCACATGGGTATCCTAGTTCATGGGATCTATGGTTAATGCACCAAAGGAGGACTAGTCAAGCCAAAGATTCAATTCTGGAGTGGTAACTAATTCAAATATGGACTAATCATTTTGCAGAAACACATGATTCTTGATGACCCATGAGTACCATAGTGGTAGGACAAACTGATTGGGAACGTGCAGTATACTGATCTGAAAACATCACACTATTGTTGTGAAGACATCACTTCCCATCCAGGTCTAATCAATACAGCACATTTCTTGGAACCTTCTGCTGAAGGTTTCCCATCATTATTTCAAACTGGCATTAATGACTTCATATGTTGTCTTCTCTTGATGTTTTTATTGTATTGTTAATGACTGTTTCCTTGCAAAGCACTTGCACTTGTATGTACTTTTAGATCCCTACCAGAATTCACTTCTCTTAAACTCATATGTTGCAGATGCCCCTGCTCCTTATTCCTCGCCCCATGAAGGACCCTCTATGCCCCGCTTGGAGCTGATGGACACGGCTACTGAAGATGAAGGGGAAGATTCAGGAGACTGCGGTTGGTACAATCTTCCACATGTACATTAGGGTTGTTTGTCCAGGGTAATGTCTGTCGCTTTAAAATAACCACCTGTTGCAGATAGTGTTAAAGAAATCAAGGAACAGGTCTTTATTGTGCTAGGCCCTGTAGAGAGAGACAGTAAAAAGAGAGCCAAAAATCTAGGTTATGATACAATACTACAGGTGAATGAGACTAATAAAAGACACAGGAGGATGAGGTAACAGTGTAAAGCCAGCAAGCTATATTATAAGAAGCAGAGTTCTGAACTCATCATCTGCATCTTTCTAAACTAGTGGAAAACTGAACTGTGGCAACCACAAGTTACTAGATGCGAGCAACTCTTCTTGCTGCTATTTCACTGTAGGAAACAAAGGTTTACCTCCCCGAGCTGATCAGCTGCCTGAAGGAGAGCACAATGATTCCATTCCATTTCAGACAGAGTGGAGGTAAGACGCCTTTTAGATGCTGTTTCCAGTGTAGGAGCGCAAACCCTTTTTGAACTCATATTTACATTATTGTCTATGGAAGATGGAGGAATTACAGTGTAAAATTCATAGCCTGAATTTCCATGTTTTATTGATGTACTTACCTAGATAAGTTGATGCTGGATACCATCTATCATATTGCTTGGATGCTGATTGCTGTTATCTAAGTTTGGACCTGATTCTAATCCCATTGAAGTCTATGGGAGCTTAGTCCATTAAGTACCTTCGACTAGCAGCTAACAGAATTGTTCTTTGCTGGTCTTTTCCTACAGCCTTGTGCACATTGCTTTAAAACAGCAGCATTATGAAGAGAAACATCTTCTAAAACAGAACAATGTATTTTCACCTTACCTTGGAAAAGAAAATTAGAACATAAGAACAGCCATACTGGGTCAAACCAAAGGTCCACCTAGCCCAGAGAAAGAGCATAGAGAAAAGAGGTGACACTGAACCAGAATCTTGGGTCCAAGCCTTGCATCAGAGTAACAGCTTGAACTAATCTCAATGCTCTATTGAATTCAAACACTGATTCTGAACATTTGGGAATTTGGCTCTGAGTCTGATCCGAACTGAATTTTTTACAACCCCAATGTTCAGGAGTTTTTGGATTCAGGGATTTGATCTGGACCTTTCCTGACCTTTATTTGCCATCAGAAATGTCAGCCTACTGTCAAATTAGTCCAGACTTTACAAACAACTGTAAACTAGGGTGATGGCCACAATTCTCATAAGTAACTTGTGAGTTAGAGCACCCCAAATTTTGGGTGCTCAACAAGATATTTTAAAGCAACTTGATTTTTCAGAGGGGCTCAGCACCCTCAGAAATCAGACCCTTTTCAAATGTGTCTTTAGCGAGGCACCTAAAAGTGAAACATGCCATATTGCTAGCCACTTAAGAAAATGGTGGCTGATGGTTTTACATTTTTTCCTCACTGTATACCTCAGGAAGTAAAGTGGGTTGTCCAGTTTTTACCAAAACATTTCTTTTTCTTTCCTTTTCCAGCATTCTCTCTATTTCTGAGCATGTAGCCAGAGAAGCCTTGGTACAGTACACAGCCAATAAGTGCTGCTATCGGATTGCCCCTGCAAAACGTATGGTGGTCCAGAACCTGACTCCGCTCAACACATTCAGAGTAAGTACATATAGTATTGAAAAGAGCTGACCAAATTTAGCATTGCATGGCAGGCTTAGTTGATAGGCTTATTCCTATACCAACTGCAATGATCTACGGTTTCAGACAGACACCCGTCACAGCTGTTACGGGAAGGTCGGCAAGATATTCACAACGAAATCTGAAATCTCAAAAATTCAGCTTTTGTCATGTTACTAATTTGAAAGTGGTCCCATTTCATAATCCCCGCTCTCCACATACATACACACTAAAATTGCATTGGCCATTTTCAGCTAAGATAGGCGCATTAAATTTTTCTTTGCTCCAAAATGTGGTGCTTTCTAGGGAGACTCTGTGTGTGTGTGAGAATCTAAAGTACATCCCAGAGAAGAGAATTTTTCCCTAAATGTAAAGTTGGTCAGAAAAGTTCTCGATCTCATAGATTTCTCCACTGTGGACTGGAAGACGTGAGTGTTCCCCTCAGTATTGTGGTTAGGCAGCAGCAAAGAAAACAAATACTGAAGTGATTTATGCTAGTGCAGTGACCCTCCCAAGATGCGTCTTCACCAAGTTTCACCAATGACTTTTAGCAATGTAGCACTGATCACTCCCACCTACCCTTATGCTAGCATGTCTCTGTGATATCAAGACTGCTTATGCCTCAGCCAGACACAGCATTCTCCAGGCTATTATCAGGAACGGCTCTAGGCACCAGCAAAGCAAGCACGTGCTTGGGGTGGCACATTTCCAGCGGCGGCATTCCGGCCTTCCTTTTCTTTTCGGGGCAGGTGCGCTCTCAGAGCTGCGCCACTTAGATGGGGCGAGGGCACCACGCCTCCGGCCGCAGCGGGAAGCAGAAGCTCCAGCCCTGGGATGCTGAGCTGCTAGGGCCCAGCTGCTACCTGGGGAGGAGAGGGCGAGTCCTGCCAGGAAGCGGGGGCTGCCCCACTTCACGTGCGCATTGGCTGCTGCGCTGCCTTGTGCCACCCCATATATTGGGGCTTCTCTGCGCAGCCGGGCAGGGGAGGGGGGAAAGCCCCTGCAGGCACTGGGAGAAGGTGACTTCACTCCCTCCGCTTCCAGCGCCGCCTGCGAGCCCCAGCCCCACCTGAGCTTGGGGCGGCAAAAAACCTAGAGCCGGCCCTGGCTATTATTCCCCTGTGCAATCATTTAGTAATTTAACTATTTTATTGCTCTGTCTGGCTCTTGCTCTTGAAATCAGAATAGCTCTTATTACTCCAACGCAGGAACCAATTCTACTCTCCTTGAAGTCAATAGAGGTTGTGCCATTGGTTTTAATGGGAGCAGGATTAAGCCCAGAATTGCTTCATCTCCTAGCAGAGAATAAGCAGCAGCTTTACATTAAAGTTGACTTTTGTTTGGTCTTATCAGTATCATCTGCAAACCTTCACTGAAACCAGAGAAACATTCCCGGTCAGCGAGCCTTATAATGGTAAGCAAATCAGCGCTCTTACCTAGCAGAGTGAACACTGTAGAATGCACTGTGGCAGGGGATGACTATCTCAGTGGATGTATGGACTTAACGAATGACCACATGCGCCTTAACTACACAGACTAGCAGAATCATAAGGGGTGATATTTTCAGAAATGGCTACTGATTCTGAATGCCTCAATTTTGGAATCCAACATGAGGTCTCCTAGGGCCTGATTTCAGAGGCACGGAGAACCGGATTGAGTACTAAGCCTTTCACCTGTTTAGGTGGTGAGTTTAAATCCAGCCCAAATTGGTGGAGACCAAAAGGTTTAAAAATTGTAATTTATTGTTCAAACTTTCTTTGCCAATCACCTTTTGTGATATTTGTTTTCTCTTTGGCTTTTGGACAGTGAAACAAGGCGAATCTGCTTAGACTAGTGCTCCTGCAGTAACTCAGTGATGATGTGTTTGGCATCCCATTCTGGCATTTTAGTCCAATTTCCGCCTCCATCCTGCTCTCCCTGAATTAAAAACCATTGGAAAATATTTCTGTTCATGTAATGTTTTGTAACAGAGAGGGAGAGAGAAGCGAAGAGGTAGATGAAGGAAGATCAGATAAACGTGCCAGGTGAAGAGTGGGAAGAGAGGAAAGGAAAAGTATAGAGAGGAGAAAGAGGGAGAGGAAGTGGGGAAGAAACAGAGGTAGGAGAAGACGAGAGTGGAAGAAGAGATATTAGATGGGGTGGGATCTGAGTTACTACAGAAAATTCTTTCCTGGGTATCTGGCTGGTGAATCTTGCCCCTATGCTCAGGGTTTAGCTGATCGCCATATTTGGGGTCGGGAAGGAATTTTCCTCCAGGGCAGATTGGAAGAGGCCCTGGAGTTTTTTCGCCTTCCTCTGTAGCATGGGGCATGGATCACTTGCTGGAGGATTCTCTGCTCCTTGAAGTCTTTAAACCACGATTTGAGGACTTCAATAGCTCAGACACAGGTGAGAGGTTTTTCGCAGGAATGGGTGGGTGAGATTCTGTGGTCTGCGTTGTGCAGGAGGTTGGACTAGATGATCATAATGGTTCCTTCTGACCTTAGTATCTATGAATCTACAAGAGAGATGGAGGAGAGTGGAAGGTGAAGAGGTGAGGAAAAAGTGAGGAACATTGGAAGTGGAAGGTGAATGTTATCATAGGGGCTAGCTAAGTCAAAGCTAACTTCCTGGCAGTCCATTAGGTGGCCACTAATATTTTTTGTTCTTCTAAGTTGGTTTGCTCTGGGCCTGATCCAAAGCCCAGTAAATGAATGGGAGTATTTACATTGACTTCAGTGGGCTGTGAATCAGGCCCTGGGGTTATTCACACAAGCTAAATTTAAGCTGGGGTAATAGATTCGTTTAGAACCTTTCCCACCGTGTACTGTAATTGTCTTTTATAATTTTAAAAAAAAAGTCCAGCTCAGGAAACAGCATGTTCCTTTGCTTCAATTTCCACTGACAGATGCAGGTTTGTTAACATAACAGAAGTTACTCACTGGAGTCATAGTTCCTGATACACAATTAACTTCCCCATTAGTTCAAGCACAGTGAGGCCAGTTTACTTTGACCTCAGAGTAAAATGGATTGTAACATCTTCCTGCCTTTGGAGAGAAAAGGGGGGAGAGGGGAAAGGACTGTTTAGAGACCAGGGGTATGGGTGCAGTGTACAAAGGGAAAGAGAAGAGAATTGAATACACTAAGGTTATACAACCTTATATGGTTACAAATATAAGCTTTCTGGGGACATTTTCTCATCTAATTAAAACAGGTTGGCCTCTGTAAAGGGCTGGCTCAGGAGGGGAAAGTCCAAGGAGCTTCCCTCCATCCCCCTGAAAAAAGGGCAAGCAACAATTGCAGGAAAATGATTCCAAATGGGATGAAGCCAGGCACCGCTCCAGCCTTGGAGAACAAGCTACTGGAGGAGAAGGGAAGAGTGGCAACGTGTTTAAAGAGGGCACAGCTTCCATGTTCTTTCTGAGCACCGGAGACCCTAGTGGTTCCCTCTGGGGTGCAGTGACGCTGGTGTGTTTTGGACTTGAACGTAGCACAGATTAGCAGAGCCCTAATGTCCTTCCCAGCTGATGGATTCAGTAGTCTTTCTTGAATGAGTTAGTGAGTCTCAGCCCAGTAAACAGAGGCTGGCATCAGAGGAACCAGTCAGTATTAATTGGCACCTCTCATCCCTAGGAAGGATCCCTGTGGAAATGGGCTGGGGCTGTAATGGATAAGATCTGAACTGCCACTGTCTAAAATGTATATGCTTGTGGATAACCTGCTTCCGTCAGTTTCCTCCACTGCCATCAACCTGTCACCTTCGACTAGCACTGAAATGCACATGTGAAAGGAGGTGCCTGTGTTTGTCCGTTCCATGCTAACCTCCCATTCTTCCTAATGCACCACTGTCTTTTCTGACTGATCTTTAGTCTTTTGCTCCAGGTGGATTTGTGGACTCTTCTGATGTTGCACCAGCACCTGCCCCGTGGGAAATAGAAGTGGATGCACCTCCTCTGTTTACGGATTGTGAAATGCACATTCCAGTGCCGCACACATATTCAGTACAGGTAACCCCCCCCCCCAACATTCCAGCTGTTAAAGGATCATTAATTGGGTGACAGGAGTGCCCCATTTGAAATCAGGTCCCTATTGTGCTAGGTACTGTACATACACATGTTAAGCGACTGTCCTGACAATCTAACTAGACAAGACAGACAAAGGGTGGGAGAAGGAAAATATTTTTATCCCATTGTACAGATGGGCAACCAAGGCACAAAAAGAGGTTAAGCAATTTGCCTATGATACCACAGGAAGTCTGTGGCAGAGCCAGGACTGAGACCAGGTTTTTTAAATCCCACTTCAGTGCCTTAGTACCTACCCTAATAGAAAATATTTCTAATCCTAAATCCAGCAGCATGTAACTCAAAGTCTGCTCTTCTTCAAGGGACTGATACTACTCTCATTGAAATCAATGGCAAAACTCCCATTGGCTTCAATGGAGCAGGATCCTTGTCCCAAGGCAACATGTTATCTCAAATTCAGAAGGCTTGATTACATCCTGATTTTAAAATCACTGTGCCATCATATTTCAGTTCTATGGTTTTGGTTAAATATCTAGCACATATACCTATTTTGACACAATTATTTTTACTAATTGCAATAGCTCTTCTGGGGTATAATTATATTTTTTGCTTCTTCCTCTCCTGATTTAGGATAAGAAAAGATAACTCAGGTTTCTGGCAGGTAGTATTGTTTTTGCTGCTTTAAATAATGAGATATTATTTGTATTAGCTTCAGATAAAGGATTGGCCCTTGTTTTTGGCAAGGAGTTGATTTTACTGCTCCAGATAGTCTGAAGTGTGCATTTCAAGTGGGCAGGCTGCCATGAAAAAGGATTTGTATCCACCCAACAAAACAAAGCGAGACTATTTCTGGAGTAAAACAAACAAAACCAGACAGAAAAGCGAACCCAACTGGTTTTGTGTGTGAACTCAGTAACCTAGGTAAGAAAATATATATCCTGCTTCCTGATGTTTCCACTAGGAAGGAGACAGAAGACCTCTGAGCATGTATTGCAATGTAGGGATGACAATGAAACCAGTCTTTTTATACTTTCTGCTCCCTGTGGTATGATCATTTAATTTCACAATGGAATCCCTGTCTGCCCTAGTAATTTTAGGTTTCTTTGCCAATGGATTTCAAGCAAGGCTCTCCTTACCTACAGGTGTAATAGAGAGAGAGGATGAGGTTTAGGTGAGAATGATGGCTCTTTGGGGTTAAAAAGTAATTGCTCATGGGCTCTAATGCCAGAAGCCTCAAGCTGCTGTATTTCTCTTTCAACCCACTGCTCTGTTACTTATACCTTATTTGCTTTGCTTTCAGGATTGTCCTAATTGCCAAGGACGTGGTAAGAATCAGTGCCACTCGTGTAGTGGATCTGGAAAGGTATGTTATAATGCAACTATGGCAAGTTCTCTTTCATGTGTCACCATTTCCTGTGCACTACAATTCTACAGGGAAGGAAGAAAACACTCACACTTCCCTTCGAAAATACTTGGAAAACTATATAAAAACCACTTGGCCCAAACTTTTCTCTTTCTGAGCTCTTGACAAGCAAATTACATCAAGTCATCTGAGAACAATAGTCACTAGTAGGAACTGGTCCCACCTATGTGTCTGTTGGTCATTCAATTCACATTCTTTCTTCCAAATAGATGGAACAGATAAAGTTAGGTCTTTAATAAATACTGAGGGAACATATGTCTTCAGCTTTCAAAAAGGGGGCAGCTGTTCCCAGTCTCTCAAAGAGAAGATGACAAAGTAAGCTCAAAGAGAAATGACAAAGTAAGGAAGGAGATGTAAATGGTTGTGTGGCAGCTAAAGAATTGAAGGTTATGGGCCTGATCCAAAGATCATTGATGTCACTGGGAATCTTTCTATCAGTGGGAGTTGACCATGGCCCTTTGTTATTTGAGAAGAACTTGATTGCAATTTATATTGACAAACAAGTCTGACCTTTCTTTGAACCTAGGGCTTTCCATTAATAAAGGAGTGATTTAATTTAACCTGTTTTAAGTGAACACTGAAGGGAATGACAAAACTTGGGAGGTTTAACAGAAATGACATCCTAATCAAGTTGGAGCAGATTTGTACCCAGAACATTTGGGAAGGTTTCAAGACAGAAGATTAACTGCTAAGAGTGGCTTCTTATACTAGTTTCACTGTGTATTGTCTGCCCAGATATAATGAAAGGGGGAAACAGAAATGCCAATATCACAGTTGGTGAGTGACAAGAGTAGAGAATAAGATGACATTAGAAGGCACCCTTATGCCTGTACACTACTATGATAGAATCATAGAATCATAGAAGATTAGGATTGGAAGAGACCTCAGGAGATCATCTAGTCCAGTCCCCTGCTCAAAACAGGACCAACTCCAATTAAATCATCCCAGCCAGGGCTTTGTCAAGCCAGGCCTTAAAAACTATAAGGGTGGAAATTCCACCACCTCTCCAGGCAACCCACTCCAGTACTTCACCACCCTCCTAGTGAAATAGTTTTTCCTAATATCCAACCTAGACCTCTCCCACTGCAACTTGAAACCATTGCTTCTTGTTCTGTCACCTGCTACCACTGAGAACAGCCTAGGTCCATCCTCTTTGGAACCCCCCCTTCAGATAGTTGAAGGCTGCTACCAAATCCCCCCACACTCTTCTTTTCTGCAGACTAAATAAGCCCAGTTCCCTGGGCCTCTCCTCATAAATCATGTTCCCCAGCCCCCTAATAATTTTTGTTGCCCTTCACTGGACTCTCTCCAGTTTGTCCACCTCCTTTCTGTAGTGGGGGCCCCAAAACTGGACGCAATACTCCAGACGTGCCCTGAGCAGTGCCGAATAAAGGGAAATAATCACTTCCCTTGATCTGCTGGCAATGAAACTACTAATGTAGCCCAATATGCTGTTAGCCTTCTTGGCAACAAGGGCACACTGTTGACTCATATCCAGCTTCTCGTCCACTGTAATTCTCAGGTCCTGTTCCGCAGAACTGCTGCTAAGCCAGTCAGTCCCCAGCCTGTAGCGGTGCATGGGATTCTTCCATCCTAAGTGCAGGACTCTGTACTTGTCCTTGTTGAACTTCATCATATTTCTTTTGGCTCAATCCTCCAATTTTTCTAGGTCACTCTGCACCCTATCTCTACCCTCCAGTGTATCTACCTCTCCCTGCAGCTTAGTGTCATCCGCAGACTTGCTGAGGGTGCAATCCATCCCATCATCCAGCTCATTAATGATGCTGAGATTTTGGTAGCAGTTAATAAAGAGATCCTCAACTGAGGTTCTTCCTTTGTAAATATCATCTCAGTATTTAACCAAGCACAAAAAGAAGGGCTGCCCATCTGTAGCCACTACAGATGTCAATATTAATCCTTTAGCACAAGTCCCCTCAAAAGTTTTCCCAGGCTCTCCTATACAAATTTAGGATGAGAAGTTTGTAAAAAAAAATTGAATAGAACTTCCGTTCTGTGGTATATAGCTGTCACAGTCGTTGCCGGCAGGGAATTGTCCTTCTCCAATAGCTAAACCATTGTCACTGTCAGAAACATGCAGGGTTTTTATCGGAGGAGCTGGTTGGATGACTCAGGGAACAAATAATAGGATGCTGAGCTTTTCATCAGTTTGTTCTGGCCCGGTTCATTTGTAACCAGAATTCATTGTGATACGATGGCTGTTCACATCTGATCTAGCGCCAGCTGCCTGGCAGTTTCATCAAAGAGGCTAAAGGACTGCTTAGGAATGGTGACTCCGTAACTGCTCACTCTCATAGGTCAGTCAATGTGAGTAATATGGCAGTGCTTCTGTGCATGCGGTGCCTGTAAATAAAGGACATGAATCTCCAGAGGACGCAAATTATAGGAGAAAAACAGGTCCTGCAGGTGGTAAGGGCTACTTTTATGAGTATCAGCTAGACTAGATAACTGCATGAGCATGGACCTTTATCAATAACAAGGAAGGAAGAACAGGTATTGCTGGAATCTCTTGCCTTTAATTTGTAGTCCTAATTCTGGAATCTGCAGGTTCTACTCAATAATGTTCAGGTGAGCATTGCAAAATTTGAAACTGAACAGACTCTACTGCCATCTTCAGACACAGAAAACGCGTTATGAAAAGTTTCTTGCTAAAATATCAGCTAGTACAGACTATAGAGTAGATCCAAGGATGTGCCTACCTCATTTTAACAGTAATATTAATGGAATGATGTCACCTACATAAGCAGCAGTATTAAGTTGTCTGCAATTAAATACTCCGCTGGATATGGAATCCTTACTTGGAAGACTCTGCATTAGGGGACAAATTCATCCCTATATAGAAATCCAGCATGAGACCTATGCATTACTTTAATTCCATTTAAACCCTCAAACCTAGGATTTAAGTGGGAATAGCACGGTGCCTGGACCTTGTGTGCGTTCTTTACACAGGGATGAATTTCATCGTAGGTGCCTTTGCCGCATGATTTCTGCATTTCTAATGCACCTTCTAGGCATGGGATGAAATAAGTTCACTTAGGTTACCCCGTTCTGAACTCTAGATACTTGTGTGTACTTTTGTTGTTGAGAATGTGGACTTGACAAAATGAAAAGTGAGAAGATCAAAATCTTGTCAGAGAAAAAAATATTATTTTCTTTTCTTTTCACCTTTTTAAATGTAGAGAAGATGTACAGCTTGTAATGGGACTGGCTGGCAAGACACATCCAATCAGAGTTGTTTATTTTGCTCAGGTTCAGGAAAGAGACGGTAAGAAAAAGCTAAAATATGAGATGGCAATTTGTATTTCTTTCACAGTTTTTGTTTACCAGACATCACTTCCAATCCAGGTCTACACATCCCTCAGCTGCTTCCCACAGCCCCCATTGGCCTGGAGGGGCCAGTAAACAAACCGGCTCGGCCCACCAGGGGATTTACCCTGGCAGGCCGCGTGCCAAAGGTTGCCGATCCCTGCCTTACCATTTAAAAAGTCAAGTCAGACAACTGTTTTTCCCACTCCTTGGTGCCATATTAGAACACACCCATGCAGACTGGTGTTGTCTGATTAACGAACCCATTGAAATTAGACAGCCGACTGAACCTATCCAATTTCTGGGTGAAAATGAGAGTGCTATAAAGGATGAGGAATCAGGACTTCGCTTCACATAAAGCAGGCTTGTGTGTGTAAAGTGAGTGCATAAATGTTATATTTCTTCCATAGTTGCTCAAACTGTCATGGAGGTGGTTGGCAGAAATGCATCCGTTGCTCTGGAAAAGGCCTCTTGCTATATCATTCTGAACTTACAATCACTTGGTAAGTTGAAATCAAATGAACACAGGGATTTGTTGTTAGACAGGAGAGTATATACAGTTGTTGGCCATTCTCAAGCATGCTGATGTTACTGAGACATAACACTCAGCCAGATCCTCAACTGGTGTAAATGAGGGTAGATCTGCTGAGGTCATTCCTGTTAAATGCTGTGCCATGGTTAGGAGTACTGACTTCAATGGAACCATGCTGATTTACACCTGCCAGTTACGTGGCCCAACATTTTAAACATTCAAACATGAGATCAGTGCTCCTAGTGACATTTAACAGAAGTGTTAACAAAATCCTTAGAAATTGATATTTTACATGTAGATTTGAAAGAAAGAGTGGCATTGAAATCCAGCTTTCACCTCTAGGAAGTATAATTTTGTAAATTTCAGAAATCACTTGATTATATAATTTTAGTTAAGCAGAATGAGAAATGACATTATCACCGTCCATGCTGAATGCATCTGGCACACAAATATTCAGAGACCTGGAGTGTTCAACTAGATTACTGGAACTTTTGGATCAAATAGAAAACCACGGTCCCGAGCATTAGTGCCCATTAAAACTCCCTCGTATGGTAGGCTAGAGCATCTTAGCTCAATGCTCAGACAGAATTCTGAGCAAACTACTTTTCACCTCATTAACTTTTTCTTGTAAAGGGGCTGATTCTTATTTACACTATGATCCCTTTACCTTGCTCTAGCATTACATGTACACTCACTTGACACTGCCACTAAGGTGTAAAGGAACTTTCGTGTAAATGAGAGTCAGACCCATCATCTTTCCTTTAAATTCTGATCTGTTTAATGTTGCTGTGCCTTACTTGAAGGGTGCCTCATACTCCAAAAGTGGTTGAATTTCAGTCATGGAAGAAGCCATCTCTATATATCTTAGGCCAAACGGAAGCCCTCATTGTTTGTAGCTTGCACAGTGGCACACATTAATCAATGCAAGGGCAGAATTAAGGTAGACCTGGGACTGGCTGTGGCCCTGGAAATCTATTCTCACATAGTTTATTCAGGCCAAGGAAAGCAGTAACCTGCAGGGGGTGGTAAGGTCTGAGACATATGCACTAACACATGTGAACCACATAACCAAAGCCCAACCCCAGAATTCCTTCTAGCTACAAAGGCTTGAACTTGACAGATTTTGGGGGAGATAAGAGCAGAGTACAAAAGTTACCCCTAATGGTTCCCCTCCCAGCTGTGGCTTTTCCGCCATAATCCTGTGTACTTCCCAAGGCGTGATTTTGTCCCAGGGCTTGTAAAACATGTTGAACACTATGGGGTTTTGTTGTATAAAGCTAATCATAGCAATCCTAACTTTTAAGGAAGAGAAATATAAATCAACATGCTCCCCCCTTTTTCCCAACAGGAAGAACAGTGTTGCTGAATATGTTGTTGACAAGAATTTTGGGATTCCTATTTATCACCTGCAGGAAGTCACTGGGAAGGAAATATTTAGTGATGAAAATCAAGTGGTAAATAATGATGCTATTGTGTTAAAATTCTTTTATCTGGAATCCACTGAAACTGCAGAGCACACTGCCATGTTTATGAACTAGCTCTCTAAGTACCAAGTAATTTTAAAGGGACAAAGAAGTAAAATTAATAGCCATACATTTTATGATAAATGTATAATTTTTATAGGAGTGTTTGCGTATTTGTAAAAAAATGTCGCAGCAATTTTCCAATGACAGTACAACACAGTAGCAGCCATTGCTATATCATCATGGGCAACATGTTACAGTCCAGTTAAACACTGGTGACAGCTATCAATACTTGTGGATGAGCAATAAAAGAGACAGGCCTGAACCAGAACCCTGGATCTGAACTACTAGGAATTTGGGGAAAGTTTGCATCCATAGAGGGACTTTGCATCTCGGTCCCATTTTTTGTCACAGCACAAGACAGGGAAAGGAGTTCTCCAGAGTGGTTATTGGTGCTCCCACAGCTTCAGGGAGGTGTGCAGAAGCCAGTATGGTGGCTTTGTGCCATCTGAGAATCTCACTATCCTGCAATCATCCTCCTGTGCTGATTTAGCCAGCTGCAGGTCTGCTTTGTGCTGGGGATGTGAGGTGCTGCAGGACAGTCGTGTATTTAAAATTAGATTAAAACTGATTTATCCCTTGAAGCACTGACATTTTGCCAGCTGCCAGTCAAATTCATGCTTAAGAGGGCGTCGGCACTGTACATGCGGACCGTGCAGTGGGCTAAAATTAAAATATACCCAAGGGACTACAGTTCTTTACTAATGATAAGAGATAAGAGCAGAGTACATGATAACATGTAACATGTTAAAACTATCATTAACATGATGTACCATGTATCATCATGTATCATGTGTCATTAACGTGATAAAACTGCATTTTGGAGGGTGTATAAATAGGTCCTTCATAACTCTGTCTTTATTTTCACAGGTGTATCCTCTAGTGAATTTCCCTGAGCCGACCATTGATAGGGGTTCAGAATCATGCATTGCGCAACACCAAATGCAGTTTGCCTCCCATAGTCGTATATTGAGACAGGTAGGTAACATGCACCAAACAGATGTGAGCTCATTGCCCCAATAAATGGGAGGCAGCTGGGGAGAATATTAGCCTGCTAATCTCCAGCATATGTAATATACAATTGTAAACTGCTGAAACAACACAGAAAAATCACACAAGGTCAGCCAGTCAGTTCCCTTACTCAAGGAGAACTGTGCACTGCAATTACAGAAAACACCCCCAAAACATCCACATGCAAAATATTCCCCCAGTTTGAGGAATCTTAACTTAGATCTACAGCCCCACATTCAGAGACCAGCCTTCAGCCAGCCATTCTTTCCCTTCTTGTTCCTGGAGGCACAGCAGCTGTTTCACCGCATCTCTCTGCAGCACCTATGTGAGCCCAAGTTGCTACTAACTTACCATCTGCCAGGGAGGTTGTATCTTGTCACGTTTACCAGATCTCTGTTGCATGATTCTGATCTGACTTTCACTGGGAGTAAATCGATCAAAATCAATGAAGATCCATCATGTAAAATCAGGGTAAACGATGTAGTCAGTCCCCAAGATTTTTTTATAAAAGGAGAGTCAGACGGGGGGACAGTAAGTTTGAACAGCTTGTTTCACAGCCACTTGGGGAGGGAATAATTTAAGTCATATAAACCTGTACAATGAAGTCCACTATCTCTAGATATCCTGGTGTGCAAGAAAGAGTAAAAATGTTGCCATCAAAGGACACTTGGGAAAGGAACTGAAACCATTCCAAGAATTCATCATCACCATAGCAATTCTGAGATGAGTGAAACACTAGGCATAGATAGGCTACACCAGTGCTGGTTCCTGAGATCTTCTATGGGCTTAGGATCAGGCTCTTTAAACCAAATAAAAACCAGGTTGTGATCCACTTGCTCATGCTGAGTAGTATTTTCCCTGGGAGCTATTTGTGAGTAAGGTGCACCTCAACATAAGCCAGCCCAACAAGATCTGACTCCTAACCTCTGCCCTTTGGATTATTATCAGATATAACCATATATTTCCTTTGTCTTTTCCAGAAACAAACCATTGAGCTGATTCCACTCACCAAGGTGGAATATGAATGGAGAGGAAAAGTCTATTCCTTCTATGTCTTTGGAAATGAGAATAAAGTGTATACAGAGGACTACCCAGCAAAGTGCTGCTGTTCAGTCATGTGATTCACAGATAGGTCCTAAGTTCTGCTAAGAAACACACCATTGGGCACCACAGAAGATCTGGAATTATTTATTCTCCTTAAAGTGAGCAACTTCTTCCTTTCCAACTTTCACTGGAGAGCAGATCTAAAGATCTTTCATTCCCATCATCATCGCAGAGGGTGGTGGGTGTCTCTTTATCAGTGCAATAACGATTCATGCAGGTCATACAGTACTTAAATGAAACAGCAGAACACCTCTCTAGTGCACCCCTCGCCATTCGCTCTATAGTTATGGAGATGAACGAATCGTGATAATGAAGATTGAAACATTGCTAACATATTGTATGACAGAGATTTGAATTCAAAGCTTTTGGTTTTGGTCTCCATAGCTTTGCATTGAGATATTTAGCTTGCTAAATGTATCCTTTAAATTCCTGTGTGTGGAATGCATATTCTAAATGATGGAAATGTAAGCAGCTTCAGGTAGCTTTCTTACAGAGTTTGAAATGAAGGAATGTGATCTGTAATTTTCCAAATACACTATTACTCTGCAATAGCTCTCAGGGTCAGGAGCAACAGGTGTGTGTTCCATCCCCTGATAAGGATCTTCACAAGAAAGTGTGGGATGAGATTGGTTCAGAGAGGGATAGGGAGTGATGTTAGCACATGTCCATGTGTAACCTACACAAGGGGAATGTGAGTCTTTGTCTCCCTTATTGTGACTGAGCTACACAATAGCCACGAGTCTGCTTTGAACTGCAGGAGTTACTCCTCTAGCTCAACTGATAGCATCTCATGCTTTCAGCTCTGTAGGACTTGGGCTCAAATCACACTGTCAGCACAAGCAGGGTCAATTACAGAAGGATCTCAGGAGGCTCCTTACTAGGGTGGTCTGTTAAAAAATTAATATTTAGGACAGACCCTTACACTGCGAGACCCAGAAGATTTCTGTTGGCCATCTGTTTACATAGCTGGCCTATATACATAGGAGGGAGCTCCTCACAGCAGGGAACATGAACTCCTCCATGTCTTGAATGGCACCAAGCATGCAACAGACAGTTTAATTAAGAAAATAAACACTGGAGCTGAGCTTTCTCACTTGAGGATGATGACTGCTCCTCCACCCCGGGGCTGTTCTAAATGAGTGGTGGAAAGAGAGCAACACTCTCTTCAAGCACTTCACAGACTGGTTATATTCAGATCTTTCTCCCTTGCCTTCATATTTTATATTAGGTGTTACCTCCAAGCAGCCAATGTGGTTGCTGGCTATCTCCTGCTGAGGTGCAAATCATATAGTTACTGTTGTCATTGCCTGCATTGTTGTCATTGACCGAGGTGTATAGCAAAGTAACTCCAGTCCCTGGACTGACTGCACCTTTTGGTAAGTGACATCAGACTCAGGCCCTCGAGCAGCACAACAAGTGATTTGTCTTTGAAACCAATTCATGTGTGTAGTTAAACGCCATCCTTTTCAGACCCAAGATCTTTGTCATAGACTATGTCAGGGTAGACAGAGAAAGAGGGGCGGGGAGTAGGAAACGTGTTGAGTGGATAAATGCCAACACTAAAGGCCACCAGATTAGTAACTATGATAGCACTCCAAAGCCATTGTAGTCTATGTTGTTGTGTAACTGGGTACAGTTACTAGCGCAAGCTAACTGACACAAGCAATTATAATATGCAGTGTTGTTGTAGCTGTGTTGATCCCAAGATATTATAGGACAAGGTGGGTGAGGTCATATCTTTTTGTCCCAGACCTGAAGAAGAGCTCTGTGTAAACTTGAAAGCTTGTCTCTCTCACTGACAGAAGCTGGGCCAATAAATGATATGACCTCACCACCTGGTCTTTACAAGGAATTATACCACTGTCAAAACAAGGGGGGGAGGGATAGCTCAGTGGTTTGAGCATTGGCCTGCTAAACCCAGGGTTGTGAGTTCAATCCTTGAGGGGGCCACTTAGAGATCTGAGGCAAAAATTGGAGATTGGTCCTGCTTTGAGCAGGGGGTTGGACTAGATGACCTCCTGAGGTCCCTTCCAACCCTGATACGCTATGATTCTACGCTAAGGGTCGAACATTTAGCCAAATGATTATAGCCCTTGTAGCAGGACAAGTATGGAAAGATGGAAGGGAGAGCTCATTGCAAGGTTAGGTTTGGACACAAATTATTCTCTCTGTTTTGGGTATTGTTGCAGGGGATTCAGATTTATCCCAAATTGACACCAACTTGGCAAAAGGCTCAAGCTGCACATTTCTTCCATGCAGTAAACTCAAAACAAAACCGGAGAGTATAAATCATACAGCAGAGCTCCTTTCCCTGGTCAGCATAAGCCTCTCGTATCTCCCTCCACTGACAGTAGCACCTTTCCTTTAAGGTCTTGAGCCTAAACAGGCCCAGCAGTATCTAAATGACTCCAGCTTATAGTACCTCTCTGAGCTACCCTCGAACACGGGCTGGAATTAAACTTCAACACCTCAGACCAGTCTGGTTTGGCAGGATCTTCTCCTAGTGACACCACTGGGGTGGGGTATGCCTTTGGACTCGGGAAGGGGGCAACATGAAACAGTAAACTGGTCAATATTTTTCCTATCAAACTGGTTTTTGACAGAAAATTGGGTTTTTGACAAACTAATATTTTGCAGAGAGTGTTTGTTTTCCATGGAAATTTTTGTTTTTCGCTAAAATATTTTGGTCAAAACCCAAAAGGTTTTGGCCAAAAATGGGAGCTATAGTGTTTCATAGCAAGTGATAGTTTGCATCTCATGTCCTCTTTCTACATGCTAGCATTCCCAGCAGGACTACATCTCCCATAATACATCATAGTCTCCCCTACCAATAAGGGGACACCTGTGTAACATGGAATCCCTGGCAATAGTGCACTGTGGGAGATGGTGTCCAGCTGCAGAACCTGGTACGCAGTGGGGAATGGGGACACAAAGAGCAAAGTACAAATCCAACTCCCATTTTCAGCCAAAACTCGATAATTTCCATGGAAAATGTAGATGGACATGGACATTTTCTCATTTTCATCTAAAATTTAAGTGGGGAAAAAATTTCAGACCACCTCTACCTCACAGCCCTAATGTAAGCAATGGCAAAATATTACTGATTATGTGATTTGCTTAGCATTGGAAAGACTAGACACTACATTTTAAATGGCTGAACACCCAAACTCTGTAAGGAATAAAACACATGTGGGAAATATCTGGCAGAGGTTCTTTCCTTTCTGATGTGAAATATTTATCTAAGCATTTGTGCCATATCCATCACCATTCCTGCCAAACCCAAACATTCAAAATTCATGAGTCCCCCCCATAAAGAAATTTAAATAAATAAATAATGTTGAGCTTTTTTATTTGCCTTCAGGTTTTTTAACCTTTCGGGGGCACCTGGGTCATGTTTCCAGACTTTTCTTTGCAACCATCAGGGGCGGAAATTTTCATAAAAAAATAAAGAAAGAAAGAAGAAGGCTGAGAATTGCACCTAAGTGCGTGTCTCCAGGAGCTGGGGCTTTACGTAAAACAAAATCTCCCCACTATATTTTCCACTGTATGCGCCTGATGAAGTGAGCTGTAGCTCATGAAAGCTTATGCTCTAATAAATTTGTTAGTCTCTAAGGTGCCACAAATACTCCTTTTCTTTTTACGGATACAGACTAACACGGCTGCTACTCTGAAACCTGTCAAATATGACAAGACTCAATAAAATCTAAGTGTTGGCAACCTTGCCATAGTATCTGAGTGTCTCATTCAATCATTCCTGTACCATACTTGCATTTATGAAACTCTATAAACAGCTTTATGATACTGAGGTTTCCCTGTTACTCCACGGCAGCTGGAAAGATGGGTTGCTCGCAGTTTAGAACTGTCTAAGTTAAAATAGACCTATTTAACTAGAAAAACAGATGACACGTAGCATCAAAGATAAATGTATTTGTTCCTGACTGAAGTTTGTATGTTCAATCTTCGTTAATCATAGTGCAGCAGGCATCCCAAACCAGTCACACTTATCTTCTGAGTGCAGCACAGAATGCTATCGTTCCCCTGGGAGTGGCATTGAACTCCACCACCATCAGTGTGCCTAGTCAAACTTTCCACAGGCCAAGCAAACATGTATGTCTTTTTATAAAGAAAATTCCAAAGGGTTGTTAACAATTGAGGGTAGCTTTTCCAAACACTACACAAAGGTTTTACAGCTATATGTCTCCCATTGATTTTACTGACTTACATCCTGCATGAAACCTCTAAAATAGGAGGGAGTGTGTCCATTGGGTAGAGCATAGGACTTAAAGCATAGGACTTAGAGCATAGGACTTAAACCAGGACTCTTGGTTTCCTAGCTTTGCCACTGATTTGCTGCATGAGCTTGAACAAGTCATTTTATCTTTCTGTACCTCAATTTACCCTTCTGTACTTGGGGTGTTGGACTATGAGATCCCCACATGAAGTATTTATTTAAAAGTATTATTTAAATATACATCCAGGAAGATCTTTTCCACTCCAAACGTTCTGGGAGAGACATCAACTTGTTCCAATCAGAGATGATGCAAGCACATTCATAAGGTATTGTATATAATACTTCCCAGAATCATTGCTATTTCACAGATTGTTTTTTATTCACACCAGATTATCCTACTGAATGGAATCTAGGGCTTTCCCTTGCTAATATTTACACTATAATTTGTTGTTCTTGGGGAGAGTTGATAAGTCAATAACAATGTTATCACAATTTAACAGGCAGTTTTGTTTTATTTACACCATACAATTCAAATGCAATGAAGGGTGTGAGCATTTCTCAGTAGTCAGGTTTTGGATGGGCCGTGAAACTATGAGCCCTAATTCTACAGCTGACAACTGACAAAACTCATACGGCCCAAACCAGCAATGTCTTAATCACCAAAATCAGCAATGTCTTAATATAAAAAGGGCAGTTATAAAAATACATTCATTCCCACCCACAAATCCAACACCAGACACCCTATAAGGCCTCTAAAAATGTGACTAGCTAACAGGAAATAAGATCAGCTATATAGCTGGTACATGCAGCAACTATAGCTATAAAGGTGTCTCTTTTACATGTATTCCTGACAAAGAGAAATAACATGCTAATTCCAGAGTTCCTCGATTGGGAGGGAAGACCCAGTACAATATACATTCACATAGGTATAGACAATAATGTTACTGATACCATGAACACATAGAATTGTAAAATAAGCATCTTAAGAGTAAGGAAAAGGTCACTGTTCACATAAGTCCTGTTAGCCTGAACTGAGACTGTGTGACCAGCTCACTTGCTTTCTCTACCAAGGCTGGTCAAAAAATGTGGGGGGAAATCCAGCATTTTAAAACATGTTGTGACTTTCTTTTTAAGTCTTGACATTTAAAAATGGGGACCAGTCTGACCCCTCTTTACAGGTGGGCCAGAAAAAAATGCTATAAGAAGGTTACTCCATTTTTTATATTATGTTTTATTTTATTTTATTTTGCTTTTTTAAAATTCCAATTGCAATATTTGAAACCCTCGGCCTGGTCTACTCACTGGTAAAGGGAAGTGAGAGTTGTAACGGGAGTGAATTTAGCAAAATAGCACAAACTCAATGAGTGTCTCCAGTTCATTCATTCCGGTTTCTCTTCACTTGGTCTTGCTATCTTTTCCACCAGATCTTAGGTCTTCTAGTCCCCTCAGGGTTCGGGAACAAATGCATTGTAATGGGATTCTACTCAAGCCACACCCAAAACTTAATTTCTGCCAACAATCCCAGAGTTTTTGGAAGTTTCTACTACAGTAACCAGCAGTAAATTAATTAACAGTGACATTTAAACACTCTTTTTAGGATTCAGCACCAATATACTATTGAGTTGGATGGAATTTTTCTCTCTCTTTGGTCCCATTTACGCTACAAAAATAACAGTGCCAGAGGCTCCAGTTACACACTGGTGATCCCGACTGTTAAACAACACAGTTTGGTTTGCAGTATAGATGGGGCCTATCTGTATTAACCATATATCCAAACCATACTACCAGCCTCCTCCATCTGAAGCTGCAACATGAGGAGAAGGGTTGCACAATATATAATCATTTCTATAAAAACCTCCACTTTCAAGGGTAGTAAATGCAGTCACAAATTATAATAACCCTTAGGAGGACGCAGTGCCTCCGTGCCTTGTCCCGCTTATATCAGACTGTTCCATAGTTTTAAAAGATGAACTTCACCAAAGAAGTTCTCAGACCCTCTGGCTTTCACTTGGATGATGAAATGCAGCAAAGCACTGTAATCTAGTCATGCCTCAATGTGGTATAGCACAGACACAGTGGTGGAAAAGATCAGAGACCCCAGAAAAGATGTGACCATCAAGTTCTATTAAGTTTTATTAGGACAATTAGACTTTTATTAAGACAGGTCTGACTTAGATGGAAAGAGAACAGTTATGAACACATCAGGACAGCCTCTAGGCCTTTTCACATAAAATGGAAGGGACAGACGGAGGAAAGAAAAAAAAAACAGGTTTTTAAGCAGCCTATTTAGGTCCTGATCATGCAAATTGCCCTACCCAGGCAGACCCAGGAGCCCCAGTAATTTCAGTGGGGGTTCACCCATGCAGCTCTCATTGCAAGATTAGGGCCTTAGAGTCTGTTCAGGATGCCTGAAGCTTTTAGTTAAAGAGTAAAAATTAACAGCAACATGAAGTCTAGCTTGATCATTAAGAGCCATTTACTTTAATCTTGAAGGTATTTAATGAATCACAGCTTCTCAGGTTGAAATTCTAGTGTAATAACAACCACATCTAGCACACTGACAGCATTTAATGACCACCACCAACTCTCACTGGCAGTAATAATGCTTAGCACTGGGGCTAGTGGATTTATTCATTGCTATTAATACATGCTGTTAATTTATTCCTCTCAGAGGTGTGGCTCTATGCCACAGTTTAGCTCAGTGCTTATCAGCACTGTCCCATGGTGGTTGGTATTTTTAGATTTTTTAAAAAAAATCTGATTTAAATAATAGCCAAAAAATTCCTAGCTAAGGCTGTAAGTGCTCTAAAAACTCCATTAACAATTACATTTCAGCTGCATTAAATTATCAATTCAGACAAGAACTCAGCCACCCAGACACTTACAGAGACTCCTTTCCCCACTCAGTCGTTGAGGGACCCATACTCTCAGCCCCCTCCAAAAGCCCTATCAAAAAGATGTCACTAGTTACCAAATTCAGACTATTTTGGACTAAGAAGGGGAGCAAGTTCCAGAGTCCTGGTGCCCTCACTCAGAACGCTTTGTTAGCCACCCCCTCTCTGTTGGAAAGAGGGGGAGATTGAGCTCACGTGCTCCTGCTGACTGCAGCTAGCAGTAGAATGTAAACTCTCTTCCTTGATGACCTGAAAGCAATGTCAGTATGGACTAAAATGTATAAAGGTTTTGGAGCTATAATAGGGACTCATTCTGAGTTACATTGTCAGTTTATACAACTCTGACAGCGTCAACAGGCCTTAAAGTATGTGTAGGTGGCTCCCCCAAAATCTCTTATGTAGGGAGCCTTCCTGGCTGGTGAAGTACTGAAGTGAAAATTATACACCAGCTGTGCACCCAGACCTGACATAAGGCATGGATCAGGGCATGCCAGTGGTGTGGCCAGGGAACACTACACTACAAGTATTCTCCACTTCTCACAGTTTATAAGGTCCTTACTGATTCCCAGTTGCTGTTGATGAGGATTATGATGTATTTGTCTTGCAGCAGCACCTAGGAGCCGCAATCGTGAACCAGACCGCACTGTGCTAGGCACTATACAAACACAGAACAAAAAGACAGTGCCTGCCCCAGAGAACACCCAATCTAAGTATAAGCATCATGCCTGCAATTTTGCTCGTCCGTTATGCAGTCCATGCAAAAGGATATTTTCATAAAAAATTCATGTCTTTTTTTTTTCTGTCAAAATTTTTCAGTGAAATGTTGCCATTTGGAAAATTTTGACCAGGTCTATAGCAGTTGAAAAAAGGGATGGAAGGAACTTTTCGCCCAAAGATTCTTTTTTGGTCAACATTTGACATTGTGATGGATTAAAGTGAAAACAAAAATCCAAAATTTGACCAGCTCTAGAGAAAGGCTCCTACAGCCTCTCTCTCTCACACGTGCTTCATACCTACATAAGGATGACACAGAATCAGGCCCCTAATGAATCAAATATTTGAATATCATTGGATATTAACCTTTTGGCCACATGAACTAATAAGTAAGGCACTGAAAAATTGGCTAGTAACAACATATCCTCCATTCAATTCTTTTTTTAAAAAACTTCACATTTTTTCTTTTTCTATAAAATATAAACAATAATGAAACAAAACATATATAAATACACGTGCAAGATGGAAATAGCATATAAATAACAAAAAAATTCAAGAATAGGTTGGTTTCTTAATTTATGATAATCATCAGCTACCTGGCCAAAGTATCTCGTTAACTGTTTTCCCAGACAGGCAATGGCTTATTATCCTTAACCATATCAATCTGTTCCTGATATTTCAGCTCATAGAAACGATGGATAACATTAGAGAGCACACATATTACCAAAGGAATGCTGTCTGCAAATAGTACAGTTCAGTTAGTTTTTTTGGATGAAGGTTGAAGTTCTAAAAGGAATTATGTTTGTGGAATCAGAGAACAAAAAGAAAGGGATGTAAGGTACACAAGAGGGAGTTGGGAAAGCTTAGCATAGCTTGGCACAG